TCCACTGAAATACACTGCTGAGGGGAGCAGCGGGCGAGGCAGGAGAGGTCTGCTGTGCCATGTGGGCAGCTCCCTAGCCAGCAGGGGATCGAACTCGCGCTATAGTGGCTGGTGTTCGCTTGGTAGTGCTGTCTTTAAACCCTGCGCCACCAAGGAGGCCCAGGAAACCTTATTTTCAAGGAGTACACAGCAATAAACCAGCTGCCACAGTGCACTCTGAAGAGAGCTTGATGGGGAAGGTCAGCGACCTATGAGCCCCCAGAGGAAAGCAGGGGCTGAAGGAAGGAAGTGAGGATTTAAGCTGCCATCTGGAGGAGGGTAGAAGTGAAAGGAAGTGGGGTGTATAGGGGACAGAATGGAGTGTTCTAGATAGAGGAACAGCCAGTACAAAGACTCGGGTGTCAGGGAGAGCCTGGCATTTTCAAGGAACTGAAAGAAGATTGACAGAACCAGAACAAAGGGTGTGGTGGTTGGGGGGGCAAGAAGCACAGTTGAGTTTGGGTTAGTCAGCAGGACTCTGCACTCCATCCTCCCACCCTGGGGAGGTGCTGAAGGATTCCTTGAGGAGAGAGCCTTGCTGACATTTGGAAAGATCACTGGGTTTAGAAAAAAGGATGAACTAGAGGGTAAACCTGGAAGCCAGGAGATGTATGTGGGGCCGTGTTCAGTAGAGAGTTGGGGGTTGTAGCCCTGTGATGGTAAGAAGGAGGTGGATTCAAGACACATCCAGGCAGCCAGCTCAACAGGTCTTGCTGATGGACTGACCTCCTCCGGCAGTAAGGGAGATCCTGGGGTCAGGAATGGCTCCTGCATTGTTTTTTAAAGATTTATTTATTTATGCATACAAGAACTGGGGTACAGGCCAGAGGTGCAGGAGGGTGAAGAGGATTCACCAGAGACAGAGTGGGGAGCAGAACAGGCAGATTGACTGAAATACACTGCTGAGGGGAGCAGCAGGCGAGACAGGAGAGGTCTGCTGCGCCATGTGGGTAACTCCCTGGTGGGCTAGGGATCGAACCCGTGCTGCAGAGGCTGTGGACAGCTTCACAGTGCTGTACTTAACCCCTTGCGCCACCAGGGAGGCCCTGGCTCTTACATTTTTCACCTGAGGAATCCAGACATCCAATAGGCTGCCAGATCGGCGTGCACCCCAAGCCCTTGGGAAAGCAGAGAGGGACGTATTTTGGGACCAGGAGATGAAGATAAATTTTGAAACCTTTGCATCTCAGCCCCCATGGGTAAGGCAGGATGAAACTAGTTTCCGCTGTCAGAGCTGAGTGGATAAACTATTGGGTCCTTAGCTAGATGTTCTGAGAGACCCCAGGTAAGTCATTGCAGCTCCTGGAACCTCAGGGGCCAACCATCACGTGCATTGGAAGAGGGTCAGTGACTGGCAAGTGCAATCTGCAGATGACGAAGCACTCCCACGCCAGCAACCTGGCCCCCACTCTGCAGCTTCGGGCTGTTTTGGGGGTTGTGTCAGCACATGCCTGATCCAGCCATCACCCTCAGTGGAGCCACGAGTGGGGCAGGAGCTCTCCCGCCCTCTCCTTCCCAGTCACGGACCCATAATCCAACTGATCCAGCCCTTCAGACTAAAGAAAGGGAGGTGGCCTCTCCCCCAAGTGACCTCTGTGACCGCAATCTCAGGGCTGGAGCGCGAGGCGACAGGTACATAGGTACACAGTGGGAGTGCTGCGACAGGGAGTCACCATCACTTCGCCCCACCCAGACCCAACTGCCCTTTGACATTGTCTTCCTAGCACACCCTGGTCTGGCCTGTTCCCTGCCTTTGCCCTTGTCCTTCCTCCAGCCAGAGTCCTATCCTCCTGCGGCCCCTGGACAGAGCTCTGTCTCACTGCCACCTCCTCCAGGGAGCCTTCCTGATTTCCCTATAGAGTTCTAGAGTCCTCATAGCCCCATAGATGGAACATCCCAGATCCCAGAACATTCCATCTGGAAGGTCCCTGGGAACCCAGCTGACAACTAGGAGAACTGAGAAGGAATAAGTTGGTTAATCCCTGCTGAGGAAATCACCTCAAAAATGTCCCCGTCTCCACTGCCTCCCCGGTTAGGCCGGGAGTGCGCTGTGCCCTGTGTGGTTTCTCCCTGGATTCCAGCTCAGCCTCACCTCCTTGTCCTTCCTGGTCTTGTACTTCCTCAGTCAAGCCTCATCCAAAGCCTGCCATGGGCCAGGCACTGCCCCTGTTACTGGATGCACAGGCTGGAGGCTGAGCAGACACGGAGCTGTCCTCAGTCCGTGCAGCTTTCCCCAGCAGGGTGCAGAGCTCTCGCCTCCTCTACCTGCACATTCTCTCCTCTGCGCCTTTGCCTTTGCCTGAGGCTCCCCTCAGGTGAAACGCTGGCCCCCTCATGTCTCGGTATGAGTCTTCCGCCCGCCCCCCAATTTGGAGCAGCTCACTGGACACTGCCTCCTTGCAGTCATCCTAGTTCTCCTGGCCAGAGAACCCCCTGTGTCCCTTCCTGTGTGCTCAGGCCTCGTTCCCCTTCTCCATGCTGCTGGGAGTCTTTCCCCAGGGCAGGGGCCTGGCACCCACCAGCCCCTCACTGGCACTGGCACATTTCCTGCTCTGCCCCCACCCCAGAGGCCAGCCCAGAGTTCATTCAGAAACTTCCGTTCCCTAGAAGGAGTCGGGGAAACTCTCTGGGTTCTTCCAGAGAAAAGTTCTGAGTGGGTGGCAGAACTGGAGGCTGCAAATCCACTCGGGGAGTTTCCCCAATAGTGGGGGCTGGGCAGCCTTGTTGTTTACAAAGCGGCCAATTGTGCCACAGTTCCTGCTGCCCAGCACTCGGCCTCTGGTGGTCCCTGTGGCAGGACAAGCCACAAGAGGGTGGGCAGAGACCACTGGACATGGGGCATAGAAAACGAGGGGCAGCAGGTAGAGAGATGCTTTCCCTCTGCCTCTCCCAGGTCCCAGAACCACCCCAAGCACACTCCCCAGGTGTTTGGCTCCCTGTGGGCCCAAGGCTCTGTCTCCAGGCCCGAGCTCCCTTCTCCCCAGCCAGGGTCCCCAGGGCACTGGCACCCCACCTCCAGCTGCTGACTCCACAGGATGGGGACCTCTGGGCATTTCTCTGCAGGAAGCTGGGGCCAAAGAATAGCACAGGCATTAAGACCCCACTCCCCACCATTCCCTTCTACCTGCGCTGGGGATAAGAGGAATGGCCCAGCCAGATTGTCAAGGGAAAAAGAGCCCACCAGCTTTCTGACTTGGGGAGTAAGTAGGGATAAGACTCTCTGTCAGCTGATAGGACCCAACAAAAAGCTGAGAAAGGCTGGTGTGAAGTCCACTAAAGGTCCACCCCACCTTTCTCAGATCTTGATCTTGTCAGGGCCCCCAGGACAGCACAGACACCCCTTATGGGTTATGAAGCAGGCCCAAAGATGGTCTGTAGCTGCCTGAGGTCTGCCATGGACAGGGGAGCACGGCCCAGGATCCAGAGCAGCCCCGTCTTCCAAAGTGGTCCCGGCAGGAGGAGGAGAAGCACCTGACCTCTCCCTGCCCCATCCAGTTGGGCATCACGGTTTCCTCTCTCAAGCTCACTGTGAGGACTGCGCTTCCGGAAGAGCCGTGTGGCCATCACCAGCCATGTCACTTAGTGATGGCTCTACCATGCCTGGCATGGCGCTGGCTGGGAGGGGACCTGACTCAGCTGGCCCCAGGTCCTTCTGAGCTGCCCGGGTCACGCGGGCTCAGATGCCACGTGCCAGAATCGGAATCCAGGGCTGTCCCGCCAGAGGTTACCCAGCTGGATCTAGCACAGGCTCCCCTCCAGGGTAAGAGACACCCATGGTCTGGCCTCAGGGAGCCCCAAGTAAGGGGTTGGCCATTTTCTCAGGTGGCCGGAGGCTGGCCTGATACAGCGATGCCATGGCCTGGGCTGGGGTTTGTGGAAAGTTTGCTGCACTCTGACGCGGGCAGGAGGCTGGCCTCATGCCCAGTGCACCTGGCTCAGCTTCCCCCAATGGTCCCTTCTTTCTGTTCTGTACATCCCCCCTTTGGGGAGATTGGCTTCTACAGAAGCGCAGATCTGGACTCTATGGTGACTAAAGCCTCTCAGGCTCTGGCCCATGGCTCAGGGTCCAGAGAGCAAAGGACATGTGACCAAAGCTGATTGGGCCTAGCACGGTCTCAGAATGAGATGGAGGGCCTCCCCGGTGGTGTAGGGGTTAAGGCTCAGCACTATCACCTCTAGGGCCTGAGTTCAATCCCCGGCCAGGGAGCTACCCACATGGCGCAGCAGACCTTTCCTGTCACCAGCTGCTCCCCTCAGCAGTGTATTTCAGTGAATTGCCTGTTCTGCTCCCCATTCTGTCTCTGGTGAGTCCTCTCAGCCCTCTGTACCTCTGGTCTACACTCCAGTTCATCTATGCAAAAATAAATAAAAAGTTAGAGAAAAAATAATATATATATATATTATATATATTATTATATATATATATATATATAAAGAAGGAGATGGAACCATGGCCTTCCCTGCACCCCGAGCCAGGCACCCTGAGCCAGACCCTGCAGGCGCATGCAGCCTGCTGACCCCCCGGAGGTCTGCCTGGCACCTGCTGCTAGTGGGGTCCATCCAGGTTAAGGAGACCAGCGTGGCCCTCACCTGACTGTGCCCCCTGCACCCCCACCCCCCACCCATGAAGCAGAGTCCCCAGTCTCAAAGCAGGGATGAGCCCAATTTAGGAAGGAGATTTTTTGGTTCTGCAACTAAAGGACCCAGGAAATGTCCCCTGGAAAAGCAGAAGTGGGTCTCTGATGGCCCCCAATACCCTCTTTGGAGAACCCATTCTCTGGAAAGCCACAAACATTCCAAGACTGGACTTGTGCTGAATCACCTCCAATTCTTCGAACCCTGATATTTAGGGAAGGATGTGAGGGAGGTGAAGAGGCGGGACAAGGGCCCCAAAGAGATTAAATAGGTCACCTCCACACTTGCCTCTCATGCTTATCTCCCTCAAGCAGAGAGCCACTTGCAGAGACCCTGCCCTGACTCCTGACACCATGGCCTCCCTCAAGATGCTGCTCCTGATCGCCCTCCTCCTGGGGGCTTCTCTGCAGGACACCCATGCAGGTGAGTGCACGGGAGAGGCCATGGAAAGGGATGAGTGGGGACCCCAAGACCACAGCAGCAACACACAGATTTATGTGCTGTTTGCACTCGACGTGCTCCCACAGGAGGTGGGAGGCCCAAAGCCAGAGGGTTATGAAGAGACAATCAAAGGAAAGTGAGGATGAGGATGGTGGTGGTGATGAGGGGGAGGAGGAAGAGGGAGATGGAGTTGAGGAGGTCGAGGGTGATGAGGAGGATGATGAGGAGGAAGAGGGTGATGAGGAGGAGGGTGATGATGAGATGGGTGAGGAGGGGGGTAGGAGGAGGAACGGTGATCAGGAGGAACAGGATGGAGCCACCCCAGTCCTTAGGGACTGGCTTGGTGTGGAACAAAGTGCTGGCTGTCTGCCCTGGCTGGGAGGCAGCGACTAGTGTGGACACTGTGTCACCAGTGACTCTGGACAATAAACCATTCTCAGAATTGGTTGTTCGCATCTGTGGTGGTAATGGGTCTTTAATAAAACAGGGGGATAAGCGCAGGGGCGGAGAATTAGTTCCCAGACCATGTGACAAAGGAGATTTCTATATTCCACTGGGAAAGGAAGGCTCAGATCAGATTGCTACTATGGAAACAAGCAGGTTAGTGCCCTCCACGCTCGGCAACACCCCCCGAGGCCACCTTCCTGGCGCAACACCCCCCAAGGCCACCTTCCTGACTGGCCACCTCGCAGTGGCTGCACTGCAGCTCCTATAGATGGTCAGGCAATCTCAGAAAGCCCTGGAGTGTGGATGAGCCAAAACCACACCTCACCTAAAGCCACCCCTCACTGTCTGTTTGCAAGTGTTGGATCTTCTATCTTGTGCAAAGAGAGGAAGCGGGCCCTGGGAAGTGTGTTCACACCTCAGGCCTCCCTCTGTTTCCCGGGGAGGGGGGGTGATGATACATGTGCTATGAGGGTCGGATGAGCTGCTGCAGCTAAGCAACAGGCACGTGGTGATCAGGACACACAGACACATGTGCAAATAGGCCCATTCACACACCGCCCCCGTTCACACACCGCCCCCAGCACACAGAGACGTCAGCTACACAGATGTGCCATACATGCAGACCCCTCACATCCTCCCCACAGAGAACACAGATGCCCCCCAAGATACCCCCTAGCAACACAGACACTACAACCCCCAAACACACACACACAGACCCACCTGATGACACACACACAGGTACCCACAGAGACCCTCCCACACACACACAGACACTCAAACACACCCACTTCTGCCTCTTTCTCCCCAGCTCGAGCACCCAATGTGGGCCTGTCATGCTGCTTCACCTTCAACACACAAGCCATTCCTCTCAAAAAGCTGGTGGGGTGGTACCGGACCTCAGAAGAGTGTTCCAAGGTGGCCATCGTGTGAGTCTCCAGGGAGCCAAGCAAGCATGAGAGAAGGGAGACCCAGGGCTCCAATAAAGGCTACTGTGGGTTGGAGGGGGAAGGGTGGGCAGGAATGGAGCACCCCTTTGATCACCCTGTTCCTGCACCCCACAGTGCCAGACCCCAAAGGCCTCAGACTGTGAGAGCCAAACTCTTCACTGGCTTTTAGGGAAACTGAGGCCCTGAGAGAGAAAGGACACCCCGCGTCACAGAGGCAGTTAGCAGTCCCCCCATCAGGCCTGAGCCAGGACCAAGGAGACCTCTGGGCATAGGCCCCTCCCAAGCACCCTTAGCACCCAGACTCCAGGCCCTCCTGAGAGGGCTGGGGCTAGAAGGTTCCCTGGGAGGGCTAGGCCTGGGAGGGACCTTGGGAGGGTCAAGAATCACTGAGGGCCCGGCCTAATGTCCGGGTCTTGCCAACAACACCCTGGGCGAATTCAGCAAGGCCTAGTCAGTGTGGGGCGAGGTGGGCTCAGGGCCTGGGAAGGCCTCCCGCCCTGACAGCCTGGCGGTTTTCTCCCTCTGGTAGGCTTATAACTGTCCAGGGCAGGAGCATCTGTTCTGATCCCAAGGACCCGAAGACGAAGAGGGCTGTCAAATACTTGCAGAGAGTCGTGAAGCCGCTTGGCTCCCCTGACCGGAAGTCCTGACTGCTCCCCGGACTTAGGGCGGCCATGCCCCCTACCCCCCCTGAGCTTCTGGGCCAGCAGAGGCCCGAGGAAAATAAAGACCCTTCTTTCCAAACTGGAACTGTGACTTGAAAGTCTTTCTCCCGCAGTCTGGTGAGCACTTTCTTCCCACTCCGGCCTGTCACTCTGGAAGCGCCCACAGAGGAAGTCTGCTCCTGACCTGTCCGAGTCAGAAAGGGAAACTGAGCCTTCGAGGGGGAAATGCTGCTGCAAACCACACTGCAGTAAGGGGAGGCCCCAGCGAGAGGGGCCCGAGCAGAGGCAGGGCTGAGGGGGTCATGGATGAGCAGGGCAGAGGGGACACGAGGCTCAGAGATCCAGCCCCATGGAGCTGGCTGCCCTCCTCTCCTCTGCTGTGCACTAGAACTGGGGGTCTGGGAAGGACTGGTGTCTGCCCCTGAAGCCCCCCCACCCCCCTCACTCAGCCTGCTCTGTCACACTTTGCTGCCTGTGTGTTTGACTCGCCTGAGCAGCTCACTGGGGCAGGAATCAGGTCAGGAACCACAGTATCTGACTCGTTCAGAAGGGGAAAAGTGCATTATGCATAGTGGACATTTGATCAACAAGCCCTCAGGTGAATTCCACAAGGATCACAAGGGGGAAAGAGAAATTCCTGAGGAGCAGTGTCTTCCTAACCCAATGGGGTTTCAAAACACTGAAGTGGGGTTTAGAATTGGGTGGCTCCCCAATTGCCCACCAGAGGGCGCTCCCGTGTAAAGCTTGAGCCAGGCATCCCCACCTGCCCATGCGCTAGAATCCGTGTTCCCAGTGGGGAGGGTTGGAGCGAATCTTGCAACTCCAGGGGAACCCTCAGCTTGGACCCTCGAGTCCTCCCTCCCACATTCCAGCTCCAAAGGCCCTGTTTGTCCCTCTCCAACTATTTTGTGGTCCCGTTTGGGTGGTTTGCTCTGCTGCCCACTCCCCTTACTGCTTTGGGGCAGTTGCAGAGAGAGTGCCTACTGTGTGCTGCCAGGTGCTAAACAAAAAAACTTAGATGTTTATATAAACAATAACAAAAACAAAAAAAAAGATTGCCCAGCCCCACCTGAGGCCTCCAGCGCCACCAGGCACCTGTGCCTTTAAAGGTTCTCAACTGACTCTGTCCCACCAGCTTCCTCAAATGCAAATGGAGAATGCTTTTGCCCCTAGACCTTTTCTGGCTCTGATGCTGCCAACTTGCAAAAGGCCCAAACCTCCCCCCTCAACCAAAACCCTCCGGCTGCAGGTAGAGGACTAGCTGCTCCCCATCCCCCCATCACCAGCTCCTCTCTGAGCTGAGGGGGCTCAATTTCAAGGTCTGACTTGTGCTGCTGACTCGCAAGGCCTCCCCAACAGCTGGTCTCCCTCAATGCCTCTTGTGGAGGGACCTGGCAACTACAAGGGAGCATCAGTAATGCCCATTGCAGTCAACAGGAGGCAGTAGCGTCCTTTCTGTCAGCAGCAGCAGGGACACATATACGAATCAAATGCGCATGCGCTTGTGGTGTTTGCCCAGGGTCCTGCTAACCCAACCCAGGAGGCACTTTGGCTCAGGGTGTCAGTCCTCCACCTGGATGGAGAGTTTTATCCTTCACCTTGCCAACTGCATAAGCCTTGGCCAGGGGCCTGACCAGGAAGCTTGGAAACTAGGTGTCCAGGTGCACCGGAGCTCGGGGCTGCACTTACTGCAGTGTAACAAACTACCACTCATCTAGTGGCTTAAAACCACACACATTTGTCCTCAGTCCTCAGTGCGCCAGGAGTCCAGGCACAGTGCATGGGTCCTGCTCAGGTCTCACCAGGCTGAGGGGCTGCTCTGACCCCGTCAGACTCAAGGACGTGGGACACCAGAGGTCACCCCTGCCGACCACAGGGGCTTGAGTCCACCAGAATGTAGCCAACCCACAACCAACACCCACCAGCAGAGCAGGATAGGCCAAAGTGAACAAAGAGAATCAGCAAGTTTCAAGGACCGATACTAATGAATACTTTTATTTATTGGTAAAATATAAAAATCTAGGTGTCTCAAAGCCACACAATGTTTTTGACAAGGTTAATTCCAAGTCTGTGTGTGGGTAATGAGGAAAAGAGAAGAGTTGTCTGCTCAGACAGATTTATTATTGGTCAGATTTCTGTCCCTCTTCCTTCTACATTTTCATCAAAGCAGACTCTTCTAGAGAGAAGCCCTGCTCCATAAATAGGACTGCCCCTATTGTGAGACACTGAGTCTCCACAGAAGAAAGTCTTGGGGTCCAAGCTGGGCTTGGACGACTGTCAGACATGACACAAACACGGCATTTTCACACGGACACACAGAATAGTTTAATACCTGGAGGCGAACAGGAGTGACCACAGGACGCAGACATGACACAGTGAGGGGTGGGCGGTGGAGGGGCGCTGGGTAGGATTGCAGAGACCAAGGAGTGAGTCCCCTGGGGCCCTGAGGAGACACCTGACTCATATCCCCAAGAACTGCACGCTGAGTCGGCCGCTGCTGGACAAGGCGCCACAGCTCTCCTGCCTGGCACAGAGGAGGGCGCTTCTATCTCCAAATGTTAATACTTAGACAGCGGCGCTTGGGGAATGCCGTGGCCGGCATTCTGACTCTGAGAGAAGGGCCTCTTCGGGGCACATGCCCTTCCCTAACACTGAGTGAGGAAGCATGTCCCCCCAACCCAGGGGCAGCTAGGCCCCATTATACCTTGATCTTTTGATAAATAGCAGCACTACGTACACTGCACCCCACAGCCAGCTGAACTCTATTAAGCACCGAATGGATTTCAAACAGAGTGAACAAGTGCAGGGACCACACAGGTGGGATTCAAGGGGCAGAAGTTGGCCAGTGGGGCGGACGTGTCCCGGGCCGGGGCCGCCTAGGCATCAGTGAGGTTGTTCTGGGTCAGCAGCACCTTCTCCCCAGGTTTGAAGGCTGGCATCCCCAGGTAGGGGCAGCTGGCACAGCGGAAAGCATCACCCAGATAGCACTGTTGAGAGAAGAGACAGTCATACGGGGAAGCTGCGTCTCCTTATCCCTCAGATGGAAGAGAAGGAAAGGATTCCTTATTCCATGATGTGGCCACAGTGGCCTGGAGAAATGGCGGGTGACCTTGTAGGTCCAACTGGAACCCACAAACGAAGAAGGTTTTAAGATCTCTAGTATGGTTTAAAAAAAAAAAAGGCCTAGAAGTTCCTTAGGAAGCCCTATTTCCACGTTCTCTGCAGTTGAAACCACAGCCAAATGACCGAATGTCATCAGGCCCACTATGAAGGAGGAAGGGGCCAAAAATATGGAACATCGGGTGCGTCCCCTACAAGTGTGAGCACACTACCACGCTTGGGTGATACCGTCTCTCCCCAAGGCCAACGCATACGTCCTCCCACTCTGGCCTGCTGTTAACATACCGGGACAGTAAATCCCTCCCAGTTGGAGCAAGTATGTGCTCAGTTCGGGTGGTGCCCACCACCCTGGGAGCTCCGTGAATATCAAGCAATGATCCAGATACTTACATTTCCACATGCAGACTTGGGGAGGGAGCTCATCTGTTCCTTTGACTTCTCTTTTTCCAGTTCTTCGGCAAGGCCACAGGTGCTGGGGGGAGATGAGCAGCAGATGAGTGAGACCTGTCACCCCCAGAAACTCCAAACCCTTGATGGTGCCAAAACACGCTCAGGCTTTTGTCTTTATGGGGGGGGGCAGGAGTGGAGGTGGGGGGGTAGCTCAGGCCACGAAGTCTCTAGATGGCTTACAGTCTCCACAGGAGTTAGAGGCCAAACTACAAGAAAAAGGCTACTTGGGGCCTCCCTGGTGGCGCAAGGGGTTAAGCACAGCACTAACAAGCTATCCATAGCCACCGCAGCACGAGTTCAATCCCCAGCCTGCCAGGGAGCTACCCACATGGTGCAGGAGACCTCTCCTGTCTCGCCCGCTGCTCCCCTCAGAAGTGTATCTCAGTCAATCCGCCTTTCTTCCTGTTCCCCACTTCCCCTGTTCCTGTTCCCCACTCTGTCCCTGGTGAATCCTCTCACCCCCCGCACCTCTGGCCTGTACCCCGGTTATTGTATGCATAAATAAATAAATCTGAAAAAAAAAAAAAAAAAACTACTTGGAAGAAATAGAGACAGTGCAGGGAGAAAAAAGCCTTGAAAGAACTGTTGCTATCCCTCAGAGAAGAGCTCACATGCACAAAATAAAAATAGCATGCTATATTTAGGAAAGTTAAGACCCAAAAAAGGAATCTTAGCAATTAGAAACATGATAATAGAAATAATTCAATAGAGGCTATGGAGGATAAACTTACAGAAAGTAGGGCATATGGAAATGTGAGAGGGGAAAAAAATTACAGAACCAAACAAAGAGGTCCAACAGGCTGTACCTGAGCAGTAGATACAGAAAGATTAAAGACAAAAATTATAAACGAAATTAAAGAAAAATTCCCAGGACTATGGACATGACTTTCCAGACACAAGAGATTCATTGAGTGGCTAGTGCAAAACAGATTCCTATTTGAGGTATGTTATTAGAAAATGGTGTCAGGGATTCAACATACTTCTGGAATGAAGACGTGGTCTTATAAAAAGGGTTCAGGATTCAGACAGATATTTCACCACAGTCGCAGAAAAAGATAACAGAACGACTATCGATGTATGTAGGAAAATAATTTTCAACCTAGATTTTTATATCCAAATAACCAAGTATTTATGAGAACAGGAATAAAGGTCTGTTCAGACACATAATGTCAAGGAAAAAAAAAAAACCTTGCCTCTCAGGTAAACAGTCTCAAAAAAAACAACTACTGGAGGATTCGCTCCACCAAAACTAAAGAGAAAACTGAGAAAGCAGCATCACAGGACACAGGAAGCAGAAAAGCTGATATAAGACAGAGGGAAGGGAAGCCTCAGGGGACAGAGAAGGAGCCTCTGAGCGTCAGCTCTGTCGGGGCAGTCACAAGTGTGCAGGGGCGGAGCAGCAGGGACAGACACGACGCGGTGAAGGCTGCTGCCACCACCAACCACTGCTGCCACCAGACCACCCTTTAAACTCGAAGCCAGAACATACGCCCTTGACTTTTCTGGACCACGTGCTGATAACATCCAACGTTCCCCTCCTTGCCCCGACACTCACTTCACCCAGCAGCCGCCTTACAGATGCTCCACGGACCTGCTCTGAGAGCTGAGGCCCCGGGGAGCACCCCCGACCACGTCTGCTGGTCCCCCCGGCTCTGCATGACACAAACCCTGCAGACGCTCTAACTGTGGCAGGCCCTTCCTGTCCTAGAACTAACTCATGACTCTTCCTGAGGCCTTCCCGTCTCTCGTGGGCTATTGTGGGGTCTCAAAAAGTCGAGACCAGAGACCCAGTTGAGTTGCTCTTTCCCTGGGAGCCACTGAAGATAGAGAATACTGACCTCCCTTGCCTAGTAAGGCTGGGGCTTCACAACCAAATAATTGTTGGGAGATTTACAACATAGGGGGTGAACCATCCCAAAAAAACAAGCCAGGAGGGGCCTCCCTGGTGGCGCAGGCGGTTGAGCACAGCACTGTGAAGCTTTCCGCAGCCTCTGCAGTGGGGGTTCGATCTTGGCCGGCCACAGAGATACCCACGTGGCGCAGCAGACCTCTCCTGTCACCCACTGCTTCCCTCAGCAGTGTGTTTCATCAGACTGTCTGTTCTGTTCCCCGCTCTGTCTCTGGTGAATCCTCTCACCCTCCCACACATCTGGCCTGTACCCCAGTTCTTGTATAAATAAATAAATAAATAAATAAATTCTTAAAAAAACAAACAAACAAAAACAAGCCAGGAATAACCAACACAAACTTAGGAGAAGGGGGACTTTCTGGGGAGGGGGTGAGTGAGGAAGCAAGTAGAGGGGGCCTCTGAGGTGCTAGCAATGTTCTGATTTTCAACCTGGTAATCTTATTATTCTTAAAACGTACCTGCTTAACATACTCTCGATACGCAAGAGAAACTTCACAAAATAAAACATACATTTTGAGAACTGTAAAGAACTGTGATTTTTTAAGAATCAGAAGCCACTGGAAGCAGCAGGGCAGACTCTGCTGCCCCTGCTCACCAGTTCTTGCAGGCCTTCCTCTTTTTCCCTTCTCCGCAAGAAGGTGCCCGCAGGGAAGCTGGGTCGGGCTTCTTCAAATCTTCTGGATCTAGCAGCTCATCTGAGTCAATGAGATCCTGGGGAGAGTTGGAGGCGGTTAGTGACAGTCGTGGTCCCGCGTCAAGGCGGCGGCAGGCCTCCGCTGCCTGTGTACGCCGGGCGTCCTTGGGCCTGCTCAGGAGAGAGTCGCACTCAAGGTGACCGAGCCCGGGAACTAAACTATGTGCCTGAGGACACGTGAGGCTGCAAAGAGGCTGGGAAGCAAGTGACATTGTGCAGACAGAGAGAGAAGAGGGAAAGAGGGGACAGGCAGAGCAGAGGGAAAAACGTTACATTTATCTGGAAGTATGAAGAGCTGTCATGTGAAAAGGGAGTAAGAGACTTTCTATATAGTTCCGGGGAAAAAGGTCAGTGGTGACACAAGCGCTTGTGCAATTCCTTGGTGGAAAGTATGGCTTCCAAGGCAGCAAGCGTGCAGTGATTTGTCCAGATAAAGGAGCCGATACAAGTATTTTAGTTGGCCAACTCCTTTCAGGTTACACGCCACAAAAGTCTTGACTGCATCAAGTGAAGGGAGAACAAGGAAGTCTGTGGGGAAGAGATGCAGGAAGAAATCTTAAAGGCCCTCTAAATCAAAAACACCAGTGACAGCAACAGCTACAGCGCGGGGCTTTCAATCGTTTGCACCCACACGTGCAGAGAGGCCATGCCACACCACGCTTGCTCAGACCCAGGGGGTGGCCTCCGAGACACCAGCCGCACGGCCACATGGCGACTCACCACGCTCTCATCCTCCATGTCGTTGGCTGAGAGGGTCCAGAGCTGGACGGCGGCGGGGTCCACAGCAGGCTTCACTGAGTCACACCCATAAGAGAAAAAGAGCCCCATGAAAGAGCCGCAAGGCATTGAGAACGGTCTCTGAGCCCGTTCTAGTCTGAGTGTCAAAAGATTGGGGTTCGCAGTCCAGCTCTACAGCTTATCAAAGGCACGCCTGGGGCCTGGTGAGCCTAACAGACCAGCAATGTTAGATATGGGAGACATGAAACATTTTGCATACATGACCCCATTGCATCTGCTAACAGCCTCGTGAGGTGAGTATCTGTCAGCCTCGTTTTACAGGTGAGGAAACAGGTTTCAACACTTAGGCCAGTGAGTTACACAAAGCCACACAGACACGACTGTTTTGTGCTCCCCACTCCTGCTCCATGCTGCTTTCTCATCTGTTTCCATTCCTAAAACACGGGGTGAACAGTTCTCCCAGAACCTACTGCCAATGAGTTAAAGACTAGGTGAGAAGGGCCTCCCTGGTGGCGCAAGGGGTTAAGACACAACCCATGAAGCTGTTCGTAGCCACTGCAGCACGAGTTCGATACCTAGCCAGGGAGCTACCCACATGGCGCAGAAGACCTCTCCTGACTCACCTGCTGCCCCCCACAGCAGCGTATTTCCATCAACCTGTGCCTGTTCTGTTCCCCACTCTGTCTCTGGTGAATCTTCTCACCCCCCCCCTCACATCTCTTTCCTGTACCCCAGTTCTTATATGCATAAATAAATAAATCTTTAAAAAAAAAAAAAGACTAGGTGAGAAAGTAAGTCAAAAAGCAGCAAAGCTCTAGTCACCCGTAAACTTGTTACATAGAAGACAGTAAGTTCCAGAGTGATGGCAGCAGTGCAGCCCAAATCAGGCAGACTCAGACCTCAGGCCTCCTGGTTCCCTGGCTAGGGCAGGAGAATGCAAGGAAGGGTCAGAGTGAGCTAAGAACCCCAATTCAGTGTGGGAAGGTCCTCAAATGGGCCTTCGGTTAAGCGCACCCCCAATCATTGTCCATCACTGTCACAACTGGACACTCAGACCTCCCACAGGCAAACCGCTCATCTAAGCTGTTCCTACTCATTCTGAAACTGTTATGCCAGAGGCTAGGATTCCAAAGGACTGTTCAGGGGTTTAGGCTGGACAGTCTAAACAGAGTGGTGTGAATGTTCCTGTAAATTTGTGCACACCTCAGAGCCAGGACAATTTTTCTCAATTAAGGCATTAAAAAAAAAGTGACGGGAAAGGTGTGTGTGGGGGTGGGGGTTGTGGTGCGATCTTCTGAGCCAAAGTTACAAGTGACAAGTGCCTTAGCATCCTCAGAGTCAAAAAAGTTGACTTTACTGGCAGACACAAAGGACAGGCAGGAACAGGGCATCGGCACCCATCACTACCACAGCGAGGTTGTCTGAGGAAAAATTCTGGGGCTGGAAAGACATTAGCTAAACTATGTGACTCAGGCCTGTAGAATCCTGAGACCAGAGAGGCTGAATATGGATGCATTATTTCAGTTTTGGATCCACGGATACCCAGACGTTAAGTATTCTTCCATTTGGAAATGACAGACATTAAGGAATGTAAAGGTGATACAAAAATAGTACCACTTCATTCAGCACTCTGGCTTGATTTCTAATATGTTCTTCCAGGTATAGTTAGAAAGAAGACTATCCCTAGGCCAGTCTTACCTGAAGGCGACTTCTTGGCAACAGAAAGCTTAAGTTGACTAGAAGAACCCACTTCAAAGTTGGGCTTTTTGCCTGTGATTTGAACAGAGCACAAGCTGTCGCTCTGGTAACCCAGGTGTTCTTGTACAGACTGTATCTCTTCAGGGTTCAGGGGCTCCCGCTGCAGCTGGAATTCAGGACATCAAAAGGATCAGGACACAGAACTATAAAATGCTGCTGTAAACTGAATAGGGGTAAACTGTATAGAGGTCATCCACTTGCTTCTGGGTATTCAAAAGAAAATCTCCTGCCTCACACGCAGTTTCTCACTGACCAGAATCCTAGAGTGTAATGTTGGTCTGCATGTTTACATAGAGCTACCCTTTGCCAACTTTTACAGTCCTTGTCAAGATATCTGCTCAGTATAGGACACCGTGCTGGTCATCGTGGGGACTGAAAGACCATAGAGAAGAACTTGACATGGTCTCTGGAGCAGGGCCCAAGTCTAGGCAGGGCAGCAAGCTCACAATGAAGTCAGTAGAAGTTTATAACCTAAGAGGAAAAGAACCATAGGGGGAGGGGACTGTTCTATGGGAAGAAGCAGCAGAAAGCAAAGGGAGAAGGTGGAGGTGCCGTCTCTATGTCTGACACGTATACAAGAGATCAGTCACAGTCCATGGGGAGCACTGCTGCTCCGTTACTAACGAGAATGATGGGCCACACAGCAAGGTGGATAACTACCTAGGCTATCAAAGCTCGGGGACATGCTAGTGACTAAACAAGGGGTGTGTGTGTGTGTGTGTGTGTGTGTGTGTGTGTGTGTGTGTGTGTGTGTGTGTGAATCTCCTGACTTATTTTTTTAAAAAAGGATGTGTTTGGAGAATTGAGCTCCACCTCACGCCCATATCATAAGAGAGTTTTCCCTACTGCAGTAGTAACCTTAAAAAAAACCTTCCTTACCAGGAAAAGGACTAATTAATACAAAGTAAAAATCAAAATCAACAAGCAACTATAAACCAGAGACACACTAAGGGGGTGGAGGGGTTGGGAGAGGAAGGACTAGGGTCAAAATAAGGGGGGGGTGAAATTGTATGGGGAATATAACCAAAATGAAAATGCATACAATGTGCAAAAATGAAAAATGAGGTAAGAATTATATGAAATAAAATATTTCTTAAAAAAAAACCTTCCTTGGGGCCTCCTGGTGGTGCAAGGGGTTAAGACACAGCACTATGAAGCTACCTGCAGCCACTGCAGCATGAGTTTGATCCCCGGCCAGGGAGCAACCCATATGGCACAGCAAACCTCTCCTGTCTCGCCCACTGCTCCCCTCAGCAGTGTATTTCAGTCAGTCTGCCTGTCCTGAACCCCACTCTGTCTCTGGTGAATCCTCTCACCCCCTCATACCTCTGGCCGTACCCCAGTTCTTGTATGCATAAATAAATAAATCTTAAAAAAAAAAACCCTTCCTTGCCATTGAAAAATAAAGATGTGTATGTATATGTGCATATAAAAATAAATAAAATACATATGCATTTATACATACATTTGTAAACAGGTCTGAATGGTCATACAAAAAAGCACGTCCATGGTATCCTTGAGAGGGGGATACCATGGGACGTCACTTTATACTCTCATTCCTCACTGTTAATTGGATTTTTATGAGTATCCTTTGTTTTAGAATAAAAAGAGAAAATCTTAAACTGAAAGGAAAAGTGGGTGGCATAAAGAAACTGAGGCCCTGGGTCACGTAGCCCATGCGTGGCCTACCAGTTACCATGGCCTGGCACTTCTCTCTCATGTACACACAGATGTTAACATCAGAGAAGAATGGAGAAATATAAATACCTCTACTTCATTTAAGTATTTCTAATGAGCTGTCAGAATTGTTCCCTCCAACCTACTCTACCCTCCCCCAAAAACCCAAAGGTAAGCTCAGGACTGCGTTTCCCTTTGGCCCAGGGTCTGTGTCTACTCAGAGTTCTGTGTCGCTCCTTCCTGCCTGGTTGAATCAGGACCAACCCGCAGGGGCCCAAGCCACGTCTCTCCAAAGGAGATTCATGCCAGAGATTCTGTCCTGAGGCACCACACATGTCAACATGTAAAGCATTTCTCAGCTTGTTTCCTGGTCTAAGCAACAGTAATCATAATCACTGCTCCTTCGGTGCTGTATTTCTCCGATTCTCTCTCTGCTGCTGATAAAGAGACAATGTGTATGGTCACCTAAGGTTTAAACTCCCAGCAAAGAAAACTGTCTACAAACCTACCTCTTTCACTTCCACGAGACCAGAGAGAGTCAGGGCTGAACACAGTTTAGAAGGCGTCTTCACTTTGCTGTTGTTAACTGCCAAGAGGAAGGAAAGCCCCAGTTAATAGCTTTATAGGTCAAAGCAGGAAAAATAATAAAGGTTCTATCCAATTTGGGTCAGCAGGCATGAAGACAATAACCTATTCTGTTTTACACACACACACACACACACTTTATAGTATTCTAATTTGACAAATCCTTTTGTTCAAAGTGCTCTTATTTATGCTCTCAAATGTCATAGAAAAATTCTGTTATTATTGTTTCTCATCATGCCTTGCTTTTTGAAAATACATAACCTTCCAGGAGTTGTTGGGTAATATCTGAGAAACAGACTCCGAAAACCTTCAGGAGTGTTCTCTCTGAGAAGCTGTGACAAAGGGACACTGTGTTCAGATACCCAAGATTTAAATTCCCAGCAAAGCACACTGGGACTTGCTGTATCTGTCACACACCTGTATGTCCACGTAAACACCTTTATTCGTTTCAAAATACTGTCATTTTTATTCTCTTATTTAATGAAATGTCTTCATATTTTCATGAAAAATCTAGTAAAAAATGTCAAAAATTCAGAACCGAATGACTCTTTGACAGTTTCACCACTAAAAAAAAAACAGGTCTATATTTTCTTGGGTTCTAGCATTCATTTCACATGAATCAATAATTACCTCATTTCTCCCAGAATTCCAGTCATGATATCTTTAACTTTTCATTTTAAAGTAACTATAAATGGACAAGGAGGCAATGGAGGGGGGAAAAGATCACAGGAGATCTAAAAGAGCCTTCACCTCACTTCCCCTCAGGTAGCATCTCACATACTAAAGTACTGTAGGGAAACTGAGTCACTGAGTGTCCACAGAGCTTACCAGACTTCACCAGCTGTACATGCACTGTGTGTGGAGCTCAATGCAATCCTATGAGAGCAGATTTGTGTAATAACACAAACAAGATGGAGAACCATCCCATCACCACAGGGAAACCTCAGACCATTCCTACACAGCCTCACACACCCACCCCTTCCTCCCAATTCCTCGCCCCTGGCAACCACCACACCCATCTCCATGCCTGGAATTTTGTTATTTCAAGAATGTTACATGAGCAGGATCACATAACATGTAACCTGAGACTGGCTGGTCACCAGCACGTTTCCCTTGAGATTCATCCAGGCTGTTGCACGTATCCCCACAGTCATGTGTCATTCAGGGATTGGGATGGCTCTGAGAAATGGTCCTAGGCAGCGACACTGCTGTGTGAACAGCACGGAGTATGATCACAGCAAACTGTAAGGCACAGCCTCCAGGTACAGCCTATACACTAGGCTACAGACATGGACCACTGTCATTTACAGAGCCACCTCTGACTGAAACATCATCACACGACACATGGCCAGAATTTGTTCCTTTTTATTGCTGCATAGTTTTCCACGCTATGGAGGTGCCAAGGTCTAACCATCCACCCATGGTGGACCCAGTCATTTTCAGATGGGTTGTCTCCTTCTATTTTACCACCTTATGGGTCAGTCAGAGACTATAATTTCTTTAATGGTATTGCTTCAGATTTTCACAATCACTGACTCTTGAGGAGAGGTTCAGCTATAGGTACAGTGATCTCCAAGTGAAATCTGCTCAGAGATGTAGCAGACACATCTTAACAGTCAATCCTGTTAACTCTGGTTTTTCCAATGAAGATTTCCTTACCAATAGCTGTCTCAACAGGTTCTCTCAGAAAAAGGCATCCCCCAGGCCGAAGGATCCGGGCAATCTCAGCCAAAGTCTCAGCACTGTGCAGAGCGGTGCTTCCAGGAACCACACCCGACAAAATAACATCAAAGCTAGATTCTTTGTGGGCAGCTGCAAAGAAGGCAGACTCTAATCAACAATTATCAGGGCTCAGAAGCGATCTCCCCAAGCCCCACAGAGGCTGCAGGCCAGGCTCTGCCTGGGGAGGAGAAGCATTTACCAGGCAGCAAACCCACCAATGCGAGTGGAAAGGGCAATGACTGGGCCTCCCTGGTGGCGCAAGGGGTTAAGAACCGCACTGTGAAGCTGTCCGCAGCCTCTGCAACATGAGTTCAATCCCTGGCCCGCCAGGGAGCTACCCACATGGCTCAGCAGACCTCTCCTGTCTCGCCCACTGCTCCCCTCAGCAGTGTATTTTCAGTCAGTCTGCCTGTTCTGTTCCCCACTCTATCTCTGGTGGAACTTCTCACCACCCCCACACCTCTGGCCTGTACCCCAGTACTTGTACGCATAAATACGTAAATCTTTAAAAAGAAAAAAAGAAAGGCAACGATGCTAACACCCTGTACCCCCGCCACATCACTAACTCCCCAACTTTCCATATGTTCAGGGAAAAAGGGAGCTGGATAAAGATTAAGTTTTTTTTTTTTAATGTGAACTATCTAATAAGTGGTAAGAACAGACTTATACAGATCATTGGCTGCACGTCTGCGTCCACTCTATCTTAACTGAAAACAACAGGGTGACTGGCCACTATTATCATGTGCCACCCCAAACATAACTTGGTTATCAAGGCGTGGCAGAAATGCAGCTCACCCACAGAGCTCCGGGGAAGGCCACTGGTCAGGTACTTACACTGCAACAGCTGGCTGCTGTTTTCCACAGACACTTGGCCCTCGCTGCCAGTTACCACTTGAAGCTTATCCACCAGCTCTTTCAGTGCCTCCACGGGGGATGACTTATCCCAGATCACTGCCACAAACTGGCCTGGGGAGATTCCAAAATCTGCCATTCTTGCAGGGCCGTTGCACCTGAAAAGTATGGGATGGGTCAAAGGAGAGTCCAGACCGAGCAGAGACAAAAGCCCAATTTAATCAGTGGTATACTGATATGGCTGGAATCACATTCTAAGTCCCACCTCCCACAAAGGCATGCTGATGACATCAGAAAATCTTCTGCAGATACGAGAGAGTCTGAGTAAACAAGCCCACTATTGCAAGGTTTCATAACCACAACATTCCAAACCAGGCATTCTCTCATTCCTTGGTGAGAATCCTGTTTTGGCAGCAAAGTAAGGAGGTGGAAGGCAGAAAGATTATTTCCTCTTTGATTTGTGACAACTCAGCTTGAACAGAATGTAACACACAGGACGTTAATTAGGCAGAAGTATGACTCAGTAAAAGGCAAATCAATTGGCTGGCATAACAACTATAAGCTTAAATATTTTCTGAAAGGAGACAACGTATGAAGCAAAGTGAGTGTTTTTCCTTTCATCAAAATATTAAAATTCAACTCCACTGAATCTGCAATGATCAATAGCATCTACTATGACTTCCTTGGACATTTACCATCAGCCAGACTGTTCGAAGCATTTTACATACATGATCTCAACTGAACCTCAGAACTACCTTACCCTAGATAGTTTACAATTAGAAAATTGCTGTCAGTGATTTTGCCCAGGTCCTACCACCAGTAAGAGCTGTGTCAATAAAGTAAGAGCTAGGATTTGAACCCAAATCTATCTGACAGTAAAACCCAGGCTTTGAACTTATGGAAATTTCACCCCAAGGGTTACCTTTCTCTTCCATTTGATACTCAGGTGAGAACAGAATGTGATCACAATGAAATTAGGTCAGGAGACAGTACCATACTCAGTTCCTCCTCTGTCCTTAAACATTAATGCCCCCAGGTTTCCAAGTTAAAGAAGAAGCTGTGGTGGAGGGGTCCTGTGCCAAACAGTCTTCTGCACGAGTGGCTAATTCTCTGGGTCTAGATATAAGCAATGTTATTACTACATGCTTCCTTCTTTAAAAATGTTCACTTCTGGGGTCTCCCTGGTGGCTTAGGGGCTAAGCCTCAGCACTAGAACCATGAAGGCCTGGTTTTGATACCTAGTCAGGGAGCTGACCCACATGGTGCAGCAGACCTCTCCTGTCTCACCTACTGCTCCCCTCAGCAGTGTATTTCAGTCTGCCTGTTCTGCTCCCCACTCTGTCTCTGGTGAATCCTCTCACCCCCTGCACCTCTGGCCTACACCCTAGTTCTTCTACACAAAATAAATAAAAATCATACAATAAAGGAATAATTCTTTAACAACAAAAAAAAAAGTTCACTTCTCATGACTTGCTCCTCTTTGCCTACAATACATGCCCAGGTTAGCCAGTCATCCTTAAATACTACAGTTCTTTGATTTTGTCACTTCTTTCCTAAAGGAGTTACAAAAGACTTTATGTTCTACAGCAAAATCAAAACTCCTTAGTCTTTTGGAGTCAGGCCCTCTATAATCTGGCTCCACTTCTATCTCCCACCTTTCCAAAGTGAATCCTTCCTTTTTTTTCCTGAAAAACCATTGCCTTTTCTCTGTATCAGACCTTTTGTCTCATTCTTCCATGCAGAATGCCTGCTCTTTATTATCCTGGCCTCAGTGTAAACCCTAGTAAAAGGATGCCAAGTGTTAACAGACAGACAGGATTCCTTAGTCATTGGGTTGCGGTTTTTAAATCCCTAAAAAGTGCGTAACTCAAGAATTGAAACTTTTAAGCTTTTAACTGTCACATGATGTTGAGGAAAAACTTTACAATCTTTAAGGTGAGCAAGTTGGGACCAATCTCACATATAAAACCAGCCAGGAATAAGGACTGCTGGGCAATAAGTTATAAGAAATAAATGACCCATTTCCAAAATGATGTTGGCACAGGGTCTTCCCTGGGGCAACAGAAAGGAATGGAAGCTCCCTGTCCACCAGTCACTACTACACCTTGCTCATAGAAATATATCTCAGGATGGGGCCTCCCTGGTGGCGCAGGGGGTTAAGCATAGCACTTTGGAGCTATCCAGAGCCTCTGCAGCACAAGTTCAATCCCCAGCCAGGTAGCTGATCCACATGGTGCAGCAGACCTCTCCTATCTTGCCCGCTGCTCCCCTCAGCAGTATATTTCAGTCAGTCCACCTGTTCTGCTCCCCACTGTCTCTGGTGAATCCTCTCACCCCAACAACTCTGGTCTGTACCCCAGTTCTTGTATGTATCAATCTTTAAAAGAAAAAAAGAAAAATATCTCAGGAGGGGGCTTACTAGTTAGAGGAAAACAAAAAGTCAGATATCTAAACTTTTTCAGTAATCTTTATATAGACAAAGTTTTACAGCGCCCAGGTTTTGAATGCAGATGAACCAAGATTCTACCTACTACTGGGTCTTCTACTTAATAGGTGTTCATGACCATGTTCAGTTATTACCTTATTTTCTCATCAATTAAGTTGGGATAATCATCTCATATTTGCAAGGTTACTACAGAAGTAAATGTGAAAATAAAAGTATGAAAAGCACTCAACAGGGTCAAGCACACAGAGCTCAATCAAATAATGTTCCGCAAGCGCAAGAGCCTTTACTTCTTAGTAACCAGTTCATTTGCCTTTGTTTCAGACAGTCCTTTTCTGCCTCTTTAGGCACCCTGCTGGCAGGACTCCCCAAGGAGAGATGTGAAGCTTCTTTTTCATTGTTAGAACTGTGCGGTGTAAGAGCTGTACTTTATGACATCTTGCACAGCACTCCAGGGAGGTTGCATCAGTAAATCAGAAGACTGTTAAATACTTTGTGTTCCACATCCCCAAACACCAACTTTCTATGGCCAGAGAGAGCTCATAAATACATTTATTAAACATTAACCCTCAAAACAAACCTAGTCACCGCTTTGTCAGCATTTTCCAAATTTAATGGAAGACAGTGTTCTTTTAAATCTCTAAAAACCCAAATGTGATACTTTCATTATCATCGTGTTTGTGGTGTTGTCAACCTGACTTTAAAGGAAAAATAAGGAACAAATGTCTGGCATCTAAGTCACTGTACTTAGAAGTTGTCACTCAGCCCAGTTTCGTAACTAAAAAGAGGTGGAGTGGATGTCATTCTCACGTCACAGGCCTTGTTTGTTAAGCACCTTTCCAAACCATGACTGCTGCACACACCTGCCCAGCGTTCTTCTAAAATGTAACCGTAAGTCCGTGAAAGCAGATGTCCGGAATAACTTCCGGAGATGTACATGTTTATTTTTAAGGCACCCAATTAAAATTTTCAGACATCTGGCTCCTTTCAGGCATGAGGGTGGCCAAAAGAAAAAAATAAGATTAAAGTACAGCTTATCAGTTCAAGCCAAGGAGTGAATTCTCTTAAGTCAGGTGCGTCAAAAATTTTGAGAGCACTGACAGTTATCAGAAAGGAAATTTTTAGTTAAAATCAATTGACTGAAGCACAGGCAGGCACACACAGGGAAAAAGGGGTGATCAGCAAAGACACAGGAAATTCAAGGGGAGAGTAATGGCAGCCAGTCTCCAGGCAAGTAGGTGTGTGTCAAAATTTGAGTTTCAGAAAGGAAAAGCCAGTGTTAACTTTCTACAGGAACGATTCATTCAAAGATGGGTGAACAGAACTCAGAAAACAACACTTCACAGACAGATCGGCACTTCACAGACAGTGCTTTACAGAAATCCAGAGATACAGAAATCCAGAAAATTCCCCATTTTTGTTTTCCTCGGGAGGTCTCCCCCCACAGCCACGCAGGCTGTTTTCAAAAGACTAGAATTGATAGGGCGGATGCAAAACAGACAAAGACGGGGGTCTAATGGCAATGGTAGGATTTACAGAATGACATGCTTAGCGCCTAACACACCCTCAGTTATCCCTAATTCCCAAACCATTTACTTCTTCCTAATATGACGCCTTCCCTGAGGACAAACAGCCCAGCGAGCTGCTCTGCATATGTATTTCTGCTTAGTGACTCGTTCATGACCTCCCAGAGCTTGGCAGTCAATGTCAGGACAAACCCCATCCGCCTTTCCCAAACTTGCAGATCCTACAAACCATCTGGAGGCATCTGTTAAAATAAGATTCCTGGACTACCTACACCCAGCCAGACTGAATCAACTCCCCAGGAGAAAGAGCTGGATACCTGATATTAACAAGCGTCCTGGATGGTTTTTCCGATATGGCAAGTTTGGAAAAACCTCAATGACACCAACGCAAGGCCTTGCTCCAGGAAAGTCATAGGCTGAAAAGTACAACCTGGGGTTCTGGTAGCTGCCCACCCACCCCGGGGTGGGGGTGGAATGGAAATCTGCAAGGCTTGAGGAGAGGGACTGTGGCCCAAGGTCACAACAGTTGGCTACCGGCAGAGCGGGTCTCCAGGGCCGCAGCTCAGGGCCCGTCCTCCTGCCCCTGAAGCCTCAGATCAGGGCCGGCGGTTCCAGAGATGAGCTGCCCGGGAAGATCAAGAAGCCAGGGGGCCAGGTGCCCCGGCCAGGTAGGACCGGCTTCCCCCGGGGACAAGCCCCTGTGGTCCTCGAGAAGGCAGTCGCGGCTACGATCCCACCGAGGGACGGGCTGGGAGTAAGAAGGGCGCTGATCAGGGGAAGAAGGTGGGCCAGGTGGGGGCTACTGGGGAAGGTGCAGCTCCCCGGCCGCCTAGATAGCGCTCACCTGGCCCCGGCAGCTCCCTCCGGGCTTCCCAGCAGCCGCCGGCTCCGCGCCTCGCGTCTCTCGCGAGAGGGGGCGGGTGCCGCGGCGCTAGGAGGGCGGAAGTGTCCGCGTCGCCTTCCGGATATTGTCCGTCACGTCGTAGTGGGCGGTGTGCCCGCTTCCAAGATGGCGGCGGCGGTGTTCCGCGTGTTCGGCCGGGCGGGCTGGAGGCTCCTGCAGCTGCGATGCCTGCCCGGTGAGGGGGGCGGCCGAGCCGGGGGTGGGAGGAGTGAGGAGGGGCCGCGAGATCGACCCGGGCTGGGTGAGGGGCGGAAGAGGCCGTCATGTAGGGCCACGAGCAAGGTGAGGTGAAGGGCATCCGCGCGGAGCTACTGGCGTCCTGGGCTTGAGCCGGCTGCCTGGTTCACTTCTGCACCCTGTCTTGGCTCTGGGTTCCAAGACCTGCCGGGCAGGGTCTGTTATTCCAATTTAGTGGAGCCCCAGAGAGGACTGGGTTGCTCAGGGGCGCACCTCGTTGGTTGCAAATCTGACTACCTCTGACCCTGTCTCTTTAACTCCGACAAGTCCCTTGGCCGTTTAAGAGAGGAAACTCTGTATCACTGCCATAACTGGAAGACCAGTGTCACCTCCAGAAATGGAATATATGCATTTGACACAGTAACATATATTCTCCTGTATTTCACCTAAAAACTTCTCAACCACAGCGGTTCAACAACATTGCTTTGGGACCACCCCTGCCCTTTTCAAAGTTCCATGACTATTTACTCCATGCCTTTTTCTGTACGCATACTAATATAATGATTTTTTGCACACATTGTTCTATGTTTCCTTTAAAATTATTCCGTGAGTTAGTCCATGACCGCCCTTGTTTTTAATACAAACTCCAAACAACATATGTTTAGTACAACGAATCCTTAAGATGCAGCAAATCCAATCCTAGGTATTCACCCAAGAAAAAATAAAACATATGTCCACAAAAAAAGGTTTGTACACATTCTATTCATAGCAACTTTGTTCATAAAAGCCAACTTTGGAATAGCCCAGTTGGCCATCACCAAATTAGTGTCTTCCTCATGAGCATTCCTCAGCAATAAAAAGTAACATAGCGCTGATTTACACAAAAATATGAATCAGTCTAAAAATACATACTAAACAAAAGAGTCTTACACAAAAAGAACACATTCAGTGATTCTGTTTAGATGAAACTGTAGGATAGGCAAAACTAAGGCGAGCATTTCTCCTAGGGAGGAGAGGTAACTTTCTGGGACAATGATAATTTTTTTTTTTTTTTTGAAGATTTATTTATTTATTTATATGGGCATTGGGTACAGTCAGAAGCACGGGAGGGTGAGAGAATTCACCAGAGCCAGAGCAGGGAGCAGAACAGGCAGACTGACGAAAGACACTGCTGAGGGGAGCAGCAGGCTCGGCAGGAGAGGTCTGTGCGCCATGTGGGACCCTCTCCCGGCAGCTGGGGATCGAACTGGCTCTGCAGAGGCTGCTGGCAGCTTCGCAGCCCAGCACTCAACCGCTGCGCCACCAGGGGAGCCCCATGATAATATTTCTATCTAAATTAAGAACTGATTTGTGTTCCAGTTATGCAAGTGTATACATTTGTCAAAAGTTAGAATTAGCAGATTTAAGATGCATTTTACTATATGTAAACATCACCTCTATAAAGGAACAATGTCAAAGCACAGGGGGAAATTCCCCCACCCCTTTGGGTTCATCTGAGGCAGGACTACTGAAAGAATTAGAGAGATTAGTAAGAGAAAAAAAGACCCAATTTAATACATTTAATACAATTGTACATTCTAAAGTAACATGGGGTGAACCAGGAGGTTTGTCTTGCACTAAGGGACCTGGGGCATCAAGGTGAGCAGGGGATTTCAACATGACAAAGAGAGCATGATTTCATGTGACCAAACCTTACCTCTGATATAAGTCCAGCCTTGATATAGGTTTCTCCAATTAAAAAACGTATTTCTGGAGATATCCCTAAATCTAGGCACTCTCCATTTTTAAGTTTCTTCCAAGATTAACAGGGCTTTGATGGACCTTAGTGCCACAAGCTAAGATGACACATATTAGAAAAAGCCTACCTGAACCTTTTTGGGGAGAATGATCTCACGAACACCAAATTCATAGCAAACTCAGTTAATGACATGCATGCTGAAATGTTTGGAGATGAAGAATGCCGAGATACACAACAAATACATCAAAAACTAAGATGGATCAAGGGGTGAAAAAGTGTGATGTGTAGATATGTAGAACCTAGGTTGATATGCAGGTATTCATGCCATGGATCTTTCAACTTGTCTGTAGTGTGGAAACTTTTATAATAAAATGTTAGGAAAGAAAACACAGTATGAACCTGTGCTTTCCAAAGCCCTTTCGTAAAGTAAGTGGGGTGTTGCAAGTGTGGCAGATAAGGAAGCAGAAATTAGTGACCTGTCCAGAGACACCACATAACTGTAGGGGAGTCTTCTCATTTCTAGTCCAGTGTTGATGTTGTTTTGTTTTGTTTTTAAGTTTTATTTATTTATTTATTTGTATAAGCACTGGGTACAGTCAGAAGTGTGGGAAGGTGAGAGAATTCACCAGAGCCAGAGCGGGGAACAGAACAGGCAGACTGATGAAGAACACTGCTGAGGGGAGCAGTGGGTGGCAGGAGAGGTCTGCGCGCCATGTGGGACCCTCACCCCGGCGGCCGGGAATTGAACCGGGGCTGCAGAGGCTGCAGGCAGCTTAGCAGCCCAGCGCTCAACCGCTGTGCCACCGGGGAGGCCCTGTTGTTGTTTTATTTAAAAGATTTATTTATTATTTATTAATGCATACAAGAACTGGGCTACAGGCCAGCAGGGTGGGGAGTGAGAGAATTCACCAGAGACAGAGTGGGGAGCAGAACAGGCAGACTGATTGAAATAGACTGCTGAAGGAAGTGGCAGGTAGGCGAGACAGGAGAAGTCTGCTGAGCCATGTAGGTAGCTCCCTGGCTGGCCGGGGATGGAACTCATACTGCAGAGGCTACAGATAGCTTCACGGTGCTGTGCTTAACCCCTTTTGCCACCAGGAAGGCCCTCTAGTCCAGTGTTCTTGCCATAAAATATAAATATGTAGGGCTTCCCCTGTGGCGCTGCGGTTGAGCACTGGGTTGCGAAGCTGCCCGTGGCCTCTGCGACGCCGGTTCGATCCCCGGCTGCTCCCCGGCCACCGGAGGAGGGTCCCACATGGCGCGCAGACCCCTCCTGCCGCCCGCTGCTCCCCTCAGCAGTGTACTTCGGTCCTTCTGCCTGCTCTGCTCCCCGCTCTGGCTCTGGTGAATTCTCTCACCCTCCCGCGCTTCTGACTGTACCCAGTGCTTGTATAAATAAATAAATAAATAAATCTTTAAAAAAAATATATATATAAATATGTAACATTTCCAAGTTACTTTTGTTTGAGCTTCACAACATTCCCATTAAGCAAAGATTTTTTAAATTGGAAGTTATTAAATTAATGCTCACTGGGGTAAAATGGTTTGCTACCCATACAGCTGACATAATAGAGACAGATCTAGAAGCCATGGCTTTCCTGGCTGATACTTTTGCCATCATGTCATACATATGTGTTGCCAGTTTATCCAAGGTTTTATGGATCTGAGACCCAACACTTGGATATCTGGCTCTGAAGTAGCCTTGTCCTGCTTTTCCCCTTCCCCATCTGGGTCTCCATGGGTTTCTTTGCTAAGTGTCCCTGACTGACCAGCCCAGTTTCTGATTTAGTGTCCCGCTGCCGACCAGCCCCGGTGCCACGTGCCTTCCATGCTTCAGCTCTGCAGCTAAAGTCTTCAGATGAGCAGAAGCAGCAACCTCCTCCCTCTTTTTCTCAGCAACATTCTGAGTCACAGGGGGCAGCAGGACCCAATTCAGAGTCTTCTCGTTCACCCCCCAGGTAGGCACCAGAACTCCCAGTTCTGTGTTTGGCCATTTGCATGCTTGAGCCTGTCTGTGCCTCTCCTTCGCCCGTCCTCTGTGTCCCTTCTCACCTTCCATCATTTTCCAGGCTATCTGTGAATTGTTTTTTTATGAAAAGTGCCTGTACATTCTAAAACATCTAGACAATACAAAGAAGTTTACAAAAATGACCACCAGTCACAAAACTTGAAATAATGAGCATTTTTGGGAATAGTCTTTTAGATATTTCTATAAGCGTGTTTCACAAATCTGAGTATATACTAAATACATTATACACTATACATGCTGTTCCAGGCTCTCTGTTTTTCACTCAACAGTATTAAATGTCTTTTCACAGTCTGTATTATTTTCATGGTTGTATAATACTCTGGCAAATGGTGGGACCAAAATTTATTTACCTATTGGTAAATATTTAGGTTTCCTTCACTGCTATTAAAATTGATGTAATAAGGTGTGATGCTCTCAGCATTGGGAGCACTGAGTCAAAGGATAGGCAACTTTAATATTTTATTGCTTATGTGGGGCCAGATTGCCCTCCTGAAAGGTAATAAGAATTGACCTTCATATTAGATACTTTTTCTTAATTCTGCCACTGAAGAGACTCCTCTCAGCTCTGAAATTAGTGTTCCCAATCATTTTTTGTGATCTCCTGATTAAAGCACTTTTCATTTCAATTAACAGATGCTTTTTGAGGATCTACTTTATTCCAGGCTCTGTGAATAATGTAACTGTGGTCCCGGTCCTCCTGGAATTACAATCTGGCGCAGATGGGGCTAGAGTAACAGCGTGCTGAGGGCTAGAAGCAGAGAAACTGGGGTGCCGCGGGAGCATTTGCCTTTCTCACCTATAACCTCCTGGCAGGACGGTGTGGGAGGGGAAGGAAGACAAAGTGGTGATTGTGCTGGTGTTGAAACAGCAATACTGACACAAAAGTAAATGTCCTTCCAGCATGTGCTTAGAGGGGCCACGGAGCATCTGGTTTCTCAAGAGGCACATTGTGCACACCTGGCAGTGGGCAGTGAGGAAAGGTGTGCTGAGCTCTCTCCCTATGTCTGTCTGGGATCTGGCTCTCAGGTATACGGATCAGGGTGGCGAAGAGGAGGAGGACCACGAGAGTGAGGAGCAGCTGCAGCACCGCATCCTGACGGCAGCCCTGGAGTTCGTGCCGGCCCACGGGTGGACAGCAGAAGCAATCGCCGAAGGAGCCCAGGTGTGTATGGGTGAGGACTGGGACGCCTCACTAAGGTCAGCCGAAGGGAGTCACACTAACTGGAGCTGAGGGCAGCTCAGCTTGAAGCCCTTCACTGCTATAGGATTTACCAGTAGGGTGAAAATGGCTCTATTTTTTATTTAGTTTTAAAATATTTATTTATGCATAGAAGAACTGGGGTGTCAGAAATGCAGGAAGTGAGAGGAGTCACCTGAGACGGAATGGGGAACAGAACAAGCAGATCTACTGAAATACACTGCTGAGGGGAGCAGCGGGTGAGACAGGAGAGGTCTGCAGCACCATGTGGGTAGCTCCCTGAACGGGGATTGAACTCAGGCTGTGGCAGTGATAGCACTGAGACTTGACCCCTATGCCACCAGGGAGGCCCCTGGCTCTATTTTATAAACAAAAAAGAATATACCATGGAGTTGGTTCTCGAGAGACTCTAAAGGCAGTCCATCAGGTGGCACTGCCTGTACTCAAACTTCACCTAAGGCACCATTGGTTATAAGAATTAACCATTTTATGCATCACTAAAAAAGAACAATTTTTGCCTATTGAGGTATGCCACTTCTTACTAAAAAATGTAAAATACATGCATGTTAAAAGTGATGAGATAGGATGTGTGAAAACTCCCAAGAAGGCACCATTTTGGAGAGCAAAGCATTTATTTTTCTCAGCGAGTCTAGCAACCAGCATTTCCTCCTACATTGGAGCAGACTGCTTTAGATTATACCCCTGTTATTTCTCTTGTCTCCTCTTTGTCCCAGGAGCCCATGTGGTTAACAAGACTTCCAAGCAAAATGTGTATACTATATGACGTCACTGTATACTCACTGAAAACTTGGAGTAATACAAACATGAAAAAGAATGCAAAAATCATTGGAGATCTTACTATTGATCAACATTTTGATGTCTGCTTTCAATTTTTTTTAGATTTATTTATTTATTTTATAAAAGAACCGGGGTACAGGCCAGAAGCACAGGAGGGTAAGAGGATTCACCAGAGACAGAGCAGGAAACAGCACAGGCAGGCTGACGAAATATACTGCTGAGGGGCGCAGTGGGCGTGACAGGAGAGGTCTGCCACGCCATGTGGGACCCTCGCTGGCCGGTAGGATTGAACCAGCGCCGCAGCGGCTGCAGATAGCTTCACAGCCTAGTGCTCAACCGCCTGCGCCACCAAGGGAGGCCCTGCTTTCAATTTTTTAAAAAATAACTTTTATTACACATTCTTTTAATGTCTCCTGAGCAAATGGTGTGCACCAGGTACTGTGCTCGGTCTTAAGGGCATCATAATGGTTAAAATGGACACGGTTCTGCCCTTGTTGAACTTCCCCTCTGGTGATGTTAATCAAGTTGTATTTATAAAATGCAATAAGTGCTGTCAGGGAAAAGTGTTATTGACACACATGATGGAGGCCCTGATCTAATCAGGGGTAAAGTGGGAAGGTGGTCAGGAAAGGCTTTTGAGAGCTGAGGAATGAGTAGTCTTTACCTGGATAATTCCAATTAGAGAAACAGCATGTGGAAAGGAGAAAGACATCTATTGCATTAGAGGAACCAAAGGAGGGCCTCCCTGGTGGCCTAGGGACTAAGTCTCAGTGCCATCACAACGGCCTGAGTTCAATCCCCAGCCAGGATTGACCTCTAGCAGCAAACCTCTCCTGTCTCGCCCGCTGCTCCCCTCAGCAGTGTATTTCAGTACATCTGCCTGTTCTGCTCCCCACTCTGTCTCTGGTGAATCCTCTCACACACACACCCCTAACACCTCTGGCCTGCACCCTAGATCTTCTACGCAAAAATAAATAAATCTTTTTAAAAAGAGGAAGAAGGGCCTCTCTTGGTAGCTCAGGCAATTGAGTGCAGTGCTGTGAAGCTGTCCGCAGCCTCTGCAGCGCCGGTTCCATCCCAGCTGGCCATTGAGGGCCCCACATGGTGCAGCAGACCTCTCCTGTCTTGCCCGCTGCTCCCTTCAACAGTGTGCTTAGTCACTGCCTGTTCTGTTCCCCGCTCTGTCTCTGGTGAATCCTCTTACCCTCCCGTGCATCTGGCCTATACCCCAGTTCTTGTATAAAATAAATAAATAAATCTTTAAAAAAAAAAAAAAGGAGGAAGAAGCAGCAGCAAAGGAAATAATCACACAGAGAGGAAAGAGATGGGAGGAGTGAAACTGAGGAAAGGTGACTTGAGGCCAAATCAGCCAAGATCCTATGGGTCATTTTAAGGAGTGAGGCCTCACTGTGTCTAAGAATAATTGGAGATACGGGATTAAATTTGACACATTTCATTGGATGGAGTCACGGGAGGCCGCTGCCAGTCGTCCGGGGCAGGTGCGGGTGCTCTGGCCTAGAGCAGTGGCTGTGAACATGGAAGCAAGTGGGTAGATACAGTGACATGGGGCTGGGGGGTGGGAGGTTAAAAGGTAGCAGTATTGTCCATTGCGTGTGTGGGGTAATGGTGCCATTTTCTGAGATTAGGGCCACTGGTCAAGGAGCAGTTCTGGAGGAGGAACGTGGGTACAGTCTTGAGCTTTGTGGCATAAGAGAGGTCTTTAGGTCAACCAATAGGAGACCTCAACATTCCACCACTGGAAATATTGATGCTGCTGGAAATGAAGCTGCTGATACTAGAGGAGGCACTAATGACGAACAGGTAACTGTCGTCCTCTGCGTTTGCCTGCCACTCTTTTTCTTCTCCTGCCCTTTTGTAGTCTCTGGGGCTCTCCAGTGCGGCAGCCAGCATGTTTGGCAGTGATGGCAGCGAGCTGATTCTGCATTTTGTGACCCAGTGCAACACTCAACTCAGCCGCATGTTGGAAGAGGAACAGAAGCTGGTACAGCTGGGCCAGGCAGAGTAAGTCCTCTGTCCTTATTGCCCAGGGTGGCTGCTGAGGGTTGAGGCACTCGGGCCCCACCAGCTATCTCCAAGAGGCCCGTCCGCACAGAACCAGAGACAGTAGCATTGAGCAGCCCTGCTGCTTTGATGGAAATGAAATGCAGCCACTTATCTCTGACCTCTGTTCTCTGGCCAGCTTCAGCTGCTGGTGGGCCCCTCCTGCCTAGGGCTCAGTAAACAGCATAGCCCTGAGCCCGTGCCTTTGACCCAGAGACACACTGTTTTCTTTTCCCTCTTCCAGGAAGAAGAAGACAGACCAGTTCCTGAGGGACGCAGTGGAAACCAGGCTGAGAATGCTGATCCCGTACATTGAGCACTGGCCCCGGGTACAGAGCCCATATCCAGGCCCAGGGCAGCGAAGTATTAATATTTGTAATTCACAGCACCTTTCTCTCAGAGGACTTTGCACACTGTTTCGAAGTCAGCTCATCCATCTCACATGCCCAGGGTTACTCAGAGCCCTCGGTGGAGCCAGGCTTCAGACTTGGAACCACCAGAGAGTAACTGAGTCATCTGTGTCTCAGTTCCTGGATGCTTAGTGGCCGGATGCTGGGTCACATCTTGGGTGGGTCCTAGTGAGCCCATGTGCCACAGTCTGCAGTGAGGAAGAATCTGTGAAGGAAATTAGAAAAGTCAGAAGATTTTGCTGGCCATCATTATTAAAAGGTCTGTCATGTTCTAAGTATCAGAGGACCGGAATTTCTCTTTAAATTGTCCATGTGATATTTGAGATCCCCTCCCCCCTTTTTTTAAGCTAACTATTTCCTGTGGCAAAACTTGTCATAGTGTGGACCATCCTCGCAGTTGAGAACGTGGAGTCAAAGCACATCAGAATGAGGGGAACTCAGATCATCTAGCATCTGCTGCGCGGCGGGGAGCCCAATCGGTTGACAGACATTTGAACCCCGGCAGTGCCCCGGTGCTGTCCCCTATCGTTGCTGGCCACACCTGGTTTCCAGACTTCTGGCCTTGACTCAGTCCACCTTGCAGTTAAGCAGGGGCAGTGCATATACTAGGCCTCAGGCTGCCTCCTGCTTTCCTGGGCTGCTTCAATAAGAGAATTCCAGCCAATCCAGGAACTCCCTGACCAGTTCCCCGGGCCACAGCCAATGGATTTTAGAGTTGGCAAAGAGGCAAGACTTTGCCCTGCCAGGAGATGATGTCTCCTAATGGAGGCATCTCTGTGTTGTGCCACTGCTTATATTAACTGAAGGGTTTTTAGTTGCAGGTAACAGAAATCAACTTGAAAAAAAGAAAAGAAAATCTGGAAGGAATATATAATGAGGCTATGGTGGAGGCATCAGGGGCAGGAAAGCTACTGGGCCCTGGGAAAGGCCTTAGACTTGTACCTAGAAACCATCTCCAGACTCCCTTCCTGGCTGTGCTACTTGCTCCACATTACAGGATGGGCGCCCCTCCCCTCGCTATCAGTTCTCAGAGGCCAGCGAGCCCCTAGGCTGTCTGCATTTGTTCCCAGGTCCACCTGCTGGGGACTGAGAATCTGATCAGGTCACACAGGGTAGGATCTGCCTCTGACTCGGTCAGCTGTGGTCAGGGCTATTAGCTGCCAGAAGCTCATGCCAGTGGGTGGAAAGGTTGGGTTTCAAAATGAGATCTGGGCCCCTTTCTGTAGCTTAGGAGACACAAGGTGCCAGTCACCTAGCCGCTGTTGCTACCTCTGCACGGTACCTACTCCTCTGTCACTCTCTCCTCAGGCCCTCGGCATCCTCTTGCTCCCTCAGAACATCCCGCCCAGCCTGAGTCTGCTCACCAGCATGGTGGATGACATGTGGCATTACGCTGGGGACCAGTCCACAGACGTGAGTGCTTTCTACCAGCCCACAGGATTCTGGGAAGAGTGTGGTTAAGCATCTCTTAATATATTTGTGAAATTTCTTTGATTACAAATCCTTTCAGGGAGCTTGCAGTGTCTTTTCCATCTTGCAAAGGAGAGCTAAGATTTGCTGAAGGTCCCCCAGTGAACCCCAGGGGATCCAGGTGTTGTTCTTCCAGGGACCAGCACTTTAGCCACAGCCCAGTGATAATTCCTTGCACCCAACACAGTGGGGACACAAGCATCAGAGGACTTTGTGCCCGGGCTGCTATTTCATAATTTCCCAATAAGTCTCCTAAGATTTAGATGCTGAGGCAGACTTTCTTAGTGTGTGCCTTTCAGGAGACTGATTTAAAAAACAGAGGATGCCATGGAGACACCCACTGCTCTAAAAGGAAACTTCTTCCCCCAACCCATCTTGCCGTGCTTTCTAAGAGCTCAATAAACCTTTAAAAACAGGCACCAGGAAAGACTGACTCATTAATGCTATCATGTTTCTGCTAGAAATTTTTTTAAAAGTACCCCTTCATGAAAGAAATTAATATGTGATGGGACCTATGTGGAATCCAGCATGGGGAGGCAGAGACACCCCCACCCCAGTTCTAACAAAGTGCTTTAATAAACTTGCCCCGTATGGGAATATACCACCAACGGAGATGGTAGGAAAATGAAATTAGAAAGCAAAGAAATTAAAGGAATAAAACACGAAGCAGCTGAGCTTGTGCTCTTAAGAACAGCTTCCCAGGGGCTCTGATCTGTTCAGCTCCTATGTCAGCTTCTCTTCACTAATGAACACACTGAGGTTTGGCCACTCCTGACTTTTACAACTAGATGCCCTAAAACTTAACTCTTTTCACCTTCCAAAAACAGACTGAATGTAGCCAAATCACCTAGGATGCTTATTACACATCCACATTCCTGGCACTTACTTCAGACCCACAGACTCTAAACTCTTAGAGGTTGGGCCCAGGAGTCTGCATTTGTACTGCAGCCTGGGTTATTCTGAGAGCCAGCAAGGTTTGGGAGCAGAAGGCCATCTTTATCTGGGAAGCAAGGAAGAATTCAGGAGGGAGCCCACAAGTGCCAGTGGCTTTGGGTAGGAACTACCCCAGACCGCCCCAGCCCCAACAGTGGTGGTAACCCTCCTTTCTGGGTGGGTTTCTTTGCAGTTTAACTGGTACACCCGCCGAGCTGTGCTGGCTGGCATCTACAACACGACTGAGCTGGTGATGATGCAAGACTCCTCTCCAGACTTTGAGGACACTTGGCGCTTCCTGGAGAACCGGATTAATGATGCCATGAACATGGGCCACACTGCCAAGCAGGTAGTAGGGGCACGCCATTTGGGAAGCCTCCTCAGCGGGCCCACGTCCTCCTCAGGCCATAGCTGGTGACTCTTGCTGATAGTTGGGAGCCTTCCAAGGAACTCGGCTGCTTTCTCATCCCAACCTTTCCCTAGGAGACACACCTGGCCTTTTTGTGATTGTGTTGGTTATGGGTATTCCCTCCAGGACACAAGTTCCTCTTAACTCGACCTGTTGAGGCTCATAGGCTCCTGATTTATCCTACCTGTCTCTTCTTTGCACTTGGGGTGCCGATTTGAAAGAACCTGACTCTGTCTCCTTCTAGGTAAAGTCCACTGGAGAGGCAGTAGTGCAGGGACTCATGGGTGCAGCAGTGACGGTGAGTGCCACCCAGCCCTCCCTGCCTTCCCCACCCCACCCTAGCCCTGTGGTCCTTCCAGCCTGTGTCACTGACCCCAGACAGTTTCGTAGTCTTCAGCTGGAAAGCTGACACTGGTTTCATCTGCTCTCGATTCTAAGTACCCCGTCAAGAAACACCAAGGACTCCCAAGACCCTGATGTGCCCTTGCCTGCGCCCCAGTCATGCTGCTACCTTGAAGTCCTCATGTTTCCCACTGGGGTCCCAGATGCAGGGCACAGCCTCATCACTCTCTGTTTCCATTCCTGTGACAGCTCAAAAACTTGACAGGTCTCAACCAGCGCCGGTGAGCAGGAAGGAGTACAATCTCAGGTGCCCAGAAGAAACCGCCCATGGATAGATTTAAAGAGCTTTGAAAAGTGCCATCCACGTAACAGGGTGTTAATGAGAAGATCCCAAAGGAATCCTGAGTCACCAGAGCCACCTGGATGCCACAGGGCAGGCAATACCATTCTAGCCTGGGATTGGGCCACTTCGTCAGTTCCTAATACCAGCCTGGCCTCCTAATGCCTTTCTGCATTGCAGCTGTGTGATTGCAAAGAGGCTGTCATCCAAGCATTTGTTCAGCAGAAAGCCAGCCAGTCTCTGCCATGGTCTCACAGACACCTTTGATCATGTCTTAACCTTCTTGGAAATGCTCTCTGGAGCTCCCAAGTCAGGGTCTGAAGCCACCACAAGGTGGCAGCTCATGCTTAGCACAGCACAGGCTGGGCACACTGGCTGTCTTTGAAGCTCCTTGCCTCTTCCCTGTCTGCCATGCTGCTCCTGGGAACCCACTCAGAAAGCTGCCTTACCTGAGACAGGTACTTGCTGGACAGTGGTGCTCAGCCTGGCCAGGTGCGTGAGCCTGGGCCTGGAGTCCCCTCCACCAGCATATATTGCAGGATTATTAGTGAACTGAGTCTATAAAAATAATAAATACGTTTGAAGCGGTTTGCTGTTGTGTGGTTAGTTTCCATACAGACAGTGGCAAGTATCTAAAACCTGAGGAAGACAGCAAGCTTGAGACTAGCAGCTGGCTCTGGTCCTGGTGCTACTGAGTACTTGTGGGCCTATGGCAGCTCTGTTTCTGGACTCAAGTCTTCCCATCAGTAAAATGTGAGTGGCAATGCCCTTCTACCTCACCATTAATGCCTTCAGCTGTCCTTGCTCATCACCAACTGTTTTAGTGATACATTGTTTAGCTGTAATAGTTTTCTTTGCCTTTACACTGGCTGATCTCCCTTAACTCTTGTATTCGTCTGCTCAACTGCTAGAACAATATGCCATACTACAGGTGACTTAAACAAGTATTTCTCACCATTCGAACACCAGGGAGTCCAAGATGAAGGTACTGCTCAGTGTGGCTCCAGGAAAGGTTTTCTAACCTATCACCTTCTCCCTGTATCCTCACCCAGCTGGAAGAGAGTGAGTCAGCGCGGGTGTCTCTTCCTGTGCTTATAAGGACATGAATTCCATCAGGCTCCTACTTCTGACAATCTCCAAACTCCCCAAATGGGGAGCTGCACTTCATGTCAGCAGGACACTTTTCAATCCATAGCATCTCTCTTCTGCTTTGCTCTCTCCCATCTAAGTGGACTGAATACTGATGGGGGAAGACTAAGAGCTAGTAGGTGTTTGCAATCTCTGTGGGCCTCCCACTGGCCCCTTTCTGCAGCTAATTCTTTTTATCTCTTGACGCCTTGTTAAGTTCCCTGCACTAGTTATTTCCAGTTTTATTCCATTTTCTTTTTTATCCTTCATACCATCCCTCTCACAGCAGACAACCTTAATTCTTAATTTCCTGAGATGGCACAGGGTTGGCGAAGGGCCCCCTCTGTGCCTCAGGAAGATGCGTCAGTCCTCACTGAGGCCAACTCCTTGTCTTCCTGCAAACTCCTGTAATGATTCCTGCCCCAAGTCCTCTTTTCTGAGCAGCTGCTGCTTTTTTGAGGTCCGTTCAAACCTCGGGTAATTCTTTGAGCATTCATCATATGAGGTGCACACCGCCAGACACTAGGGGTGCAGAAATGAAGATCCACCACCACCGCAACAACTGGAGCTGATGCATTAAACTGAATCTTCCTGCAGTTTCAGAAGACCTAGGGGTGGCCAAGAAAGTGTTTACATTACTATTCAACTACACTTGGTCAAAGTATACTCATTGCTAAAGTGTACTTTTGCTTTTCCCTACATTTACCAATTTACTTTCATTCTTTTCAAAGGCATCATAGCAATCCCTTCTTTGTGTATATAAGCAGGCCTCGGCCAATGGACAATGTTCTGTTACCTTTTGCCATCATCAAATGCTGAAATAAACAGCCCAGTAAACCTGAATTTGGTTACAGCTGCAAGTATTCCTGCACTATGATTTCCTGGAAGTACTGTTGAGTCAAGGGCGTGCACGGGATTGGCCCGATCGCCGTCGGGGGTGGCTGAAGCCGGTGCCTGCTCTAGCAGGTTGGAAAACCAACGGCAGGCGGCGGTCCCGGCCTCCGAGCTGCAGGTGGCGCTGTGAGCGCGGGAGCGGCGGGGCCGCGTGACGTAATTCCGGGGACGGCGGCGGGGGCGGCGCAGCGGTGCTGACGCGCAGAGGCCGGGCGGACGGCGGAGCGCCATGCCCTACGCGAACCAGCCCACCGTGCGGATCACGGAGCTCACCGACGAGAATGTCAAGTTCATCATCGAGAATACGGACCTGGCGTACGTCTGTGAGGGACGAGGCGGGCGGTCTGGGGCGCTGGGGGCCCAGGAGGGGCGCGGGCCGCGTCCTTCCGGAGGTGGACTCCCCCGACCCCCCATTTTCCCGGGCCTGAGCCGTCGCTGGGGGAACCGCGGAGCTGACCTGTCTGGGCGTCCTCACGTCTCTCGGTTTTCATCTCAGGGTGGCCAATTCCATTCGGAGGGTCTTCATCGCTGAGGTGCCCATAATAGGTGAGCGACCCCCGCCTCCTCGTTGCCAGGGCTGCCCGTGTCCGACACCCCTTCTCCCTCACATCTTGCTTGGGGTTGGGGGGCGGGTAACGCGTGAGAAAACAGCGACGTGAGAGACTGGATCGGACCCGCTTGCGACCACCTCCCTGCCGCGCGGCCTCTGGGGTGCGCTCTTAGCTGCGCTATGGCCAAGGCACGGGTGCAGGAGTGTGCGGGCTTGGCTTGGAAGATTGTTTTCGGTGAACCTTGGGCAAGTTATTAAGCCTTGTCCTGTAGTTTTCTCTGTAGCATTTTCCTACGCTGATGGTACACATCGGGAGGAGACAAGCGTGTAGAGAGTGTTCAGTACCGGTGTTTTGGGTTTTGTTTTTTAATAATTCCTTCCTTGGACTGCATTTATGGAGCGTGTAAATGGCAGACAGTGGTACTGGGTACTGGGCAGCGCCGTATAGTACAGGGTTTTGCCTGTACTGTGCCCCTCCTGGAGCTCACTGTGACTTGGCAGGGTGAATCTGTTAGGGAGAAATGATGGCCTGAGCTAATCCCATACAGACTCTGTGGACTCCACTCCCAGTCCAGACTAAAGCCATCAAGACATTGGGAAAGACAAATCCCATCACCACCAAAGGGAAGGTGGCTGGGACCTTAGGGTGGAGTTAAGCAGCCAGGTTGGGTATAAAAACCAAACACGTGGGCCTTGGGGGACTCGCTGTCTCTCGCCTCCTGGCTTCACGGCTCCTGGCTTGCAGCCAGCTCTCAGAGCACTATTTGGGATTCCAGATCAGCAGATCGGTAGGACTCATTTAAAACTTTGTCTCCCACTTTTCTCCCTGAGCTGTACATTTTCTCATTTTCCCTTCCCTTGTAAATAAACCTTTTATTAACCTTTCGCGTGTGCCTGCAGTAGAGCATTGATAAGTCCTTTTAAGCGTGCAGGTGAGGACCCACAGTCAGGCACCCCGTTTTGTATCGGGGTTGCTCTACAACAAATCCACAGTCAACACCAATACAGCATCGACTTGGAGCAGTAGTTCAGAGGACACATGGCTAGGATGCTTTTGGTGCTTCGAGGAGGGAGGATCTGTTTGCTTTCTGGTTCCAGTTGCCTGACTCCGGTGTCTAACACATTGATAAACGCACAAGTATTTTCCAGAGTGTCAGCTGAGAGAATTTGGATTAGCAACAAAATGTAAGTCATAGCAGCTGCATTAAGTGCGCAGACTCGAGGAAATAAGCAGGCCAAATGATGAACAGTTGACACAGTAGCTTACCCACTACCATCTCCATCACTTCTTCAGGAAGGCTTGGGGTGCTGCCTCCTGCCATATCACTACACGTCTCTGAACCTCAGGTTCGTCATGAGTAAAGTGAAAGAGTGGTACTTTATAACGCAGCCTTGACATTCCAAGTGTAAGTGCTCTTTTCTCACAAATTCAGTACTGCAAATAATCGCTTGGAAGACAAAGATTGCCTCAAGAAGTTTTGAAGCTTGAGGTAGAGACAAGACACAAACAAACATAACAAGGTAAAACAGGACAAGTGGAAAGAGAAGTTTGGACAGACTCTCGCTGTAGAAGGGAGTGATCTTGTCTATTTCATGGGGGGGTGGGCAGACAAGATGTGGTTTCAAGGAGGCTCAGAGGACCTTGTTCTGCACAGGGGAGGGTAAGTGTGCTGGGTAAGACTAGGGGAGAGAAGTAGAAAGGCAGAAAAGCTTGGTTCATGGTCCTTAGTTGACTTGAGTTGGGGAAGCAGTGGAAGCTTAGGACAAAGCAGGCTGTTCTTTCCTGACCTTCATTCCTTGTGTCCACTTCCCAGGTTACTGAGCATTAGGCGATTTGTTAGTTGGACTCCAGTGTCATTTTGCTTCTGGATTTGTTTGTGTGCACATGCTTATTTGTGAATGTATGAGTAATAGTGTGGTTGTGAGTGAAAATACAGTCCTTGCCCTTTACTAGGGTTTTATATTAAATGTCTTTTTTTTAAAATGATGGCTGTGCACACAATTTTTTTATATTTTAAAAATTTATTTATTCATGCACACAAGAACTGGGGGGTACAGGCCAGAGGTGCAGGGGGGTGAGAGGACCCACCTGAGACAGAGTGGGGAACAGAACAGGCAGACTGACTGAAATACACTGCTGAGAGGAGTAGTGGACGAGACAAGAGAGGTCTGCTGCGCCATGTGGGTAGCTCCCTGGCCAGCCGGGAATCGAACTTGTGCTGCAGAGGCTGTGGATTGCTTCATAGTGCTGTGCTTAACCCCTTGTGCCACCAGGGAGGCCCACTAGGGTTTTATATTAAAGGAATTCTGTAAACTAGTTGATTGAGTGACAGTAAAGTTAAATTGGGTAAATCTGGTCATTATATCCTAAGCTGAGCTGTGGCCCGTAAGTCCGTGTTTCTTCTGTGAGGGAGGTTTGCCTTAATTTGTAAGTGCCCAAGTAACTTGTGTTCTTGAATTTGCATGAATAACAAATTTAAGTGCTTATCACAGAAACATTCAGCTTAAAGGGTCTCCCTGGTGGTGCAAAGGTTAAGTCTCAGCACTATTGCCCTGTCTCAGCACTATTGCCCTGACGGCCTGAGTTAGATCCTCAGCCAGGGAGCTGACCCACATGGGGCACAGCAGACCTCTCCTGTCCCCTCAGCAGTGTATTTCAGTGGATTCGTCTGTTCTGCTCCCCTCTCTATCTCTGGCGAATCCTCTCACACCCCTGCACCTCTGGCCTATGCCCCAGCTCTTGTATGCATAAATAAATAAAAATAAATCTGGAGGGGGGGAAGGATTCAGCTTAAAGAATGGTATTCTCACCTCCATGGTAATCTCCGAGGCTGTGCATTAGAAAAGGGGGGGGTGGGGATGTGGTTCTTATTCAAATGCAGGTCAGTGTACCCTGGGCTAGAGCTGGGGATGCAGCCTCTGCCACTTCGTAAGCACCAGGTGACTCCTGTATCTTAAGAACCACTGCTCTGAGCCATTAGGATTCGGTGGCTGAACTGCCCATCTGCTCCTTTCACTTTTTAGCCATTGACTGGGTTCAGATTGATGCCAATTCCTCAGTGCTTCATGACGAGTTCATCGCTCACAGGCTTGGTGAGTGCTGGGTTTGGGAAGGTAAAGGGAGTGGGCTGTGCCTGGTGTCAGAGCAGGAAGCCATCTGGGTCGCCTCTCTCTCGCGGGCGCTTCTCCTTCTGGTTTGGCCTCTTGACCTCTTTAAGATGCTCTTCTGTGTCTTCCAGGATTGATCCCCCTCACTAGTGATGACATTGTGGACAAGCTGCAGTATTCCCGGGTATGCTATGTGATCGGGTATGGTGGGAGGTGAGGGGTTTCGGTTCTCAAAGGAGTTTTTCTTGACATCTTTCAGCTTTTAGAAGACAACATGGAGCTGTTGTCCAGAGCCCAGGGATGTGTTAGTCCTTGGTTCTGATGGATCACAGATTGATTAGGCTCATGAGGCATCAGGGAGTCACACAAGGGGATATACACTAAGGTGCCCATAAGAGCAAACTGGGGTGCACTTCCTTTTCAGAGTCCACCTTCAGACTATCTCTTTCTAGTGACGCAAGCCTAGGGGGCTAAAGGAAGTCAACAGAAGTTTGAAGAGGGGCTGGTGGGGACAAGGAGAGGTAGCACTGAAGGGCTGTAGTGATGGTGTCTGCCAGTTTCATGCCTCTCCCCTGTGGAGGATGCCATCACACGGGGGCCCTTCCTCTAGGGCTGTGCTTGTGCTCTGACATGTTGCGTGCTGAGGGCCAAGGAGAGGGTGGGACAGGACAGGCCGACCTGCATGCATCCTTTCCCTGGGGCTGCACTAGATGACATTGAGATTGGTCCCTCACTTGCTTTGTATGATCAAAGCAACTTGAATCAACTGATTTCTAATACTCCTAAGGGCGTGTCATTTTTGTGATGGCTCATTTGATATTGAGAGAGGAAGTAGTTGGGATTGAAAATATCAAAAATAGGTTGGGTTTTCCTCACTAGTGTGAGGGGGAAACCGTGTGTGGGCACTTTGTAGTAATGCTCTTCTTGCCTGAAGTTAAATTGTAGCTAGAGTCCCTCACTTGGGAATGTTTAAAGAATGGCAACGGACACAGAGCAATGGTTACAAGGTGGCAGTCTATTAAACTCCTGAATGAATGAAATATTCCCTAATAGCAAGTTTTTAGAAGAGAAGGTCAGTGGTCTGGAAAGCTACTTTCCCCTCTGTCCCTTGGCTGCTTTGTTTAAGCGACAGCTGCATTCCAAGCCAGTGCGCTAAAGCCACGGTTCACGGGAAGCTGAGTCTCTAGTAGGAAAGCATCCGCCTCCCTCTTCGCCGCGGTTCTCTGAGGGAGCGTCCTCTAGGGATGTTTCCCGTGGTGGCCTGGCAGCTGGCGGGGCTGGCACGGAAGCTCGGTGCCAGCGCGTGTGGGTTGTGCCGACACTCCGCTTGAGCAGCCCGAGCCAGTGACGCGCCACTCACGCCGCCCACGAGAGCCTGGAGACGGAGCAGCCCTCTCACAGATGAAGACGCTCGAGGAACTGGGGCCTGGAGGCAGAGAGCCCAGTCGGCGTTCCCCGTCCCCAGACTCAGCGCCGCCTCTCTCCCCGCCTCAGGACTGCGCGTGCGAAGAGTTCTGCCCCGAGTGCTCGGTGGAGTTCACGCTGGACGTGCGGTGCAACGAAGACCAGACTCGCCACGTCACGTCTCGGGACCTCATCTCCAACAGCCCCCGGGTCATTCCGGTCAGTGTCTGAGAACATCTCGCCTGTGCTCCTGCTCGCTTGGAGGGGGCCAGACTGGGGCGGACTGTTACAAGATGCTGACTTCCCTGTGCTCCCCTCTGCCCTAACCTGACCCCTGGAAGTGCTAACCATGCTGGGCCCTGGGTGTCCTGTCACCCAGGACCCTTTTGAAGGCCCCAGCAGTGTTGGAGAAAGCTGTCACAGCCACGAGGTGGGGCTGGCACCCACGCCCCAGCACAGATTAGGTCCTGGTGGGCACTTCTGCCGCCGCATCCTGGGATCCTGGCCCTGGTTTGGCGGGTTGTCCACACAGGTGACTGGGGAGGTGAGTAGCTCATACATGCCTGTGTTGGGCTCCTGACAGGTAACATCCCGGAACCGAGATAATGACCCCAATGACTACGTGGAGCAGGACGGTAAGGGGCTGGAGGGAGGGTAGAGATGTTGACCTCACCTGTCAGTTTGTGGGCGGGCGGGGAGGCAGAGACCAGACACACACAGCCTCCCATACTGCCTGCTCTCCCTGTCTTCTGGCCTTTAACCCATCTTCCCAGATGTGTAGTCTTCCACTCTGCCAAAGTGTGGAGGGCCGTGCCTCTCCTGGCGCTCAGCTGACTGACTCCTCTCCCCACAGACATCCTCATCGTCAAGCTGAGAAAGGGCCAGGAGCTGAGGCTTCGCGCCTACGCCAAAAAGGGCTTTGGCAAGGAACATGCCAAGTGGAACCCCACTGCAGGGGTGGCTTTTGAATATGATCCCGACAATGCCCTGAGGCACACGGTGTACCCCAAGCCAGAGGAATGGTATGTGCTTGGTGGGAGTGGCAGTGGCTCCTAGTGACTGAGGTGGGACGGGGCTCGCTGGCTGGAGGTGCCCGAACAGCAGCCATAGCAGCCCTGTGTGACCTGTGCTTGACCGCAGGCCAAAGAGTGAGTACTCAGAGCTGGATGAGGATGAATCACAGGCTCCCTACGACCCCAACGGCAAACCAGAGAGGTGAGACCGGGCTGGCATGAACAGAAGCGTGTGAGACTGTAGTGTCGGCGCAGGCTCTTCGGGAAGACCCTTTCCCTCACAGCCCAGTTCCCATGAGCCAGGAAGGGGCTGGTAACTGCTAAGGCCAAGTCACGTGCAGGCCCTGGGGCAGGGTCTTGTCACCCTTTTGGTCAGTGAGAAAGAGTTCTCCAGTTAGCCAAGCTGTTCTGGTTTTCAGCCTCCAAACAAGGGGATCAGCCTAGGGCCATGTCTTCTAGCAACAGGCATGAAAATGCTGGCACCTGTGACCTGCCTTCTTCCACTGTCTCCTCAGTGTGGATGTTTTGAGATTTTCACGTTACCCTTCTGAGGTAGCCTCACTGAGCTCCTGCAAAATGCACCACAACCGCTGTTTTTAAGGGGTTGGAGGTCAACCCGGGACCAGGCTCCCGGGGGAAAGGAGTCAGGACCCAGAGGGCGGGAAGGCGGGCCTGGGAGAGGCTCACAAGCCGGCCTCCCTGGGGAGCACTCTCACCCGCCTCTCGCCTCTCAGGTTTTACTACAACGTGGAGTCCTGTGGCTCTCTGCGCCCTGAAACCATTGTCCTCTCAGCCCTCTCTGGATTGAAGAAGAAGCTGAGTGATTTGCAGACCCAGTTAAGCCACGAGATTCAGAGCGACGTCCTCACCATAAACTAACTGCAGCTCGCCCGTTTCAGGAAAACAGGAGTGTGAGTCAGTAGTAGCTGGATTCCAGGTCTCCTGAGATTCTACTAGCTTCTTAGCCTCAAGCTTTTTGGCAAATTGTCAGGTAGCGGTGAGGTGCTCGTGGATCATCACTAGGGCAGTTTTCTACTGGGCAGTAGCATCCTGGCCCACAGCGATCGCCAGTGATGCTCCCCAGGGCGTCTTCTCCACCCTTGTCCCTAATGTGCCTGTGGAGGTCCTACTATTTCCCTGTTAAGAGCCACTGAGCTGGACGCCCCTCTCTGCCCGTTTTAGCTCCTCTCATACCCTTTGTGTCCAGAAGGCCTTCTTGCAGTTGTACTCGGGTGTCTGGATTGAGTGCTCTTAGACGCTTCAGGCTGCCTGCAAGCCCTTCCAGTCCCGGGCACGCCACTCATTCCCACCAGCCCTGAATTTCACACTAGTGTACATCTGACAGGACAAATAAGCCCTGTGTCTCCTCTACCCAGGGGTTAAGACCACCACCAATGGTCTCGTTTATTGGGGGAGGGGGTGAACGGGCGGGCAGGGCCTTAATGAAGGTCTGGCCTGACCCCTTAGCCCTATAAGTGGTAACATACTGACAGCAAGTTAATTAGCCTGGCAGGAGAAAACCAGAGATCCAGTACAGAAAGGAAAGGATATTTATTGATTAACAATAGTTGTCTTTTTTTAAAGTTTTTATTTTTGGCAATAAAGAGCACAACATAACCTCCTTCATGCGTCATCGTGCCACTAGCTGAGCCGGCCAGCTCTGCCTCCCTCTCCAAAGCCTTTGGCCTGGGCTCCCTTCCTCAGGCCGGCTTATGCCTCTGGGTGGTCATTCCCTGGGTCAAGTCCAGAGCTGAGCTGGCTGTCACCACCGCCCTGGCTCCAGGGCTCTGCTGGGGGTGGCGGGGGGGAGGGGGGGCCTCTTGCTTTACCATCCTCTTGCCACAACTTGAATAGTGGTTATTTACAACAAGGTCTGTTCCCACAAATCAGAACTCTAAAATATTAAAAAAAAAAAACAAAACGTAATACACGCAACCAAAGGTCTGATGTGAATAGAAAGATAGCCCTTCTGCACGGTAGTCAATAAATACCAGCACTAGAAAATCAATTGCTTTAATTGCATTTCAGCAGGGAGCCTCAGCACCATGTGGGGAGAGGGAAGTGGGAAGGTTTCTGAGTGCTTCTGGCTGGCCAAGGATGGCCAAGCACAGGGCAGAGGCGCTTTCTCTGCTGGGTCATTGCCCGCCCCCAGTCACGGAGAGGGAGCAGTAGGGATGTACCCCACAGTAGTCCTGCTACAGCCTCCCCTCCTGGCCTGACCCTGGGGCACAAAAGAGCTCAGGACTGGCCATCTTCTACCTGGCTGAGGTAACCAGCACCCCCACCACCAGGGTGTCTCCTCAGCCTACTGAGCAGGAAGGAGCCTGGGCAGAAATTAAATTTAAAACCAGATTTTCACCTGAGGTGCCAACCAGATGTCACCTCTGCTTAGAACTTCAAGTGCAAGGCTACCAAGCGGCGCAGTCTAAGTTCAGATCCTTCCTGTGCCATGCTAGGCCCAGAGGAACGGAGGCCACCTGCTGTCTGAGCCTGAGCCCCGGGCTGCTTGGGAAAAGCCAGCAGTCGGCATGCCAGCCTGAGTTCTGATTGTCTCCCTCTGGCCCTGGCAGCTCAAGCAAGTCCTGGCAGCAGGAGGGCTGTACCACAGAGGGCAGGAAAAGAGCTGCCCTCGCGTTCAAAAACAGCCTTGACTGGCCTGCTCATGGGATTAAAAAATGTATGTGGTGGCGGGGAGGGACGAGGGAAATCTCATTAATATAGAATATGTCATAAGCCATATATATTAAAATCATTAACGTGTATATAGTCCCACGGTAGCTCCAGCCCCTCACACATGCTCAGGTGGTGCGGCCAGCCCTTTGCTCGGTCCAGCCTCACCTCTGGGGGCAAGGAAGGGACAGTTTGCTCCCTTTCTCCAGGCCGTGGCCAGCAGCCCCGAAGCTGTCCACTGACGCTGCAGGCAGCCCCAGCAGTCATTGTATGCCAGCCCTGCCGTCACAGGGATGGGGTCTTGGCCTCGCCGCTGTCCCCCTGCCTGGGCTTTGGCTTTAGCAGGATGAATCTGTTGAGGAGGTCCGTTTCTGAGCTGGCCTGGGTGGCCCCATAGCCCTCACCTGTGAACACAGAGGCAGGCCCGGGTCTCAGCTCCAGGTCGAAAGCTCCCTGCCCCATAGGCCTTGTCCTCCACAGAGCCTCTTGGCAGGTGGGCGGGGGGCACAGCCACGACTCACCGGCATAGCTGGAGGCCTCAGCAATGTTCTGGGAACCCGTGATGTGGTGCCAGTAGGCACTGCGGGGCAGCATGGTAGTGGGCGTGCAGGGATATGAGTAATGTTCCGTGCCCTTGTTCAGCAGCTGTGAGGCAGAGAAGGAAGGGGATCCCTCCCCTTAGCCCTGGGGCACTGGCTGCCTCTAGCGTGTACACGCTAGCTGGAGACGGCTGATGCTCCAGGCTCTTGGCCTGCCCGCCTACCAGCCTCCCCAAACCCTGGACTGCGATGCCCACGGCCTCACCCTCACGTTCTTCTCCATTTCCAGCAGGACCCGCTTGTGCTGCTCAGCGATGGCCAGGGTGGCACTGTGGACCCGCTGGTAGATCTGTTCCCCCTCCTGCGTCTGGAAGGTGTAGAGCCCTTCCCCGGCATCACACATCCTGGGGACACAAGTGATGCACTTGGAGGGCCAGGAGGTGGGGACCCGGCCACGCGCATGCGTATGCGGTCAGGATCTCCTGCCCCACTGCTCTGGCTGAACCCCAGGCCGTCTGGGAAAGGCAGAGCTGTCATCTGGGGGTCTGACCATACATGCTGAGCACTTTTCTGTGCAGGTGGAGCTCTAGATGCCGTACAGGGCTTAGCCCGCGCTCACCGCCCATCTGGTCTGTGCACCTTTGCGTTTCCTCATGGTGAGTTTTTCGACCCATTTTACTGATGAGAAAACTGAGTCATACAGAAGGCAAGTGGCCAAGGTTCTACATGAATTACATGGCATTTGAGTCCAGGCAAGCTGGCTCCAGAGTTTAAGCGATGGGTTACCCAATCCCCAACGCACTCCGAGGCTGGGTACTTCCATTCTCTGTCTCACAGCAGAGGAAATAGACTCAGGTCACCGCCCGACTTGTGCTAAACTACTTCACTGGACCTGTCGGCTGTGAGGCTCAGTTTCTTTATCCGTAAAATGGGAATATTAAGTTCCCCTTTGACTTCCTGTGCCCAGAACATGTTCCCAGCACAGAGCCCAACGGTGAATGGCAGCCACTGTCACAACCGTGCCGAGACAGGTGGGGAGGACAGGGTCCTACCGGCCAGCCTCGAAGGTGAAGCGGGTGGCGTCCCGGCCATAGCGGCGCAACGAGCAGAGGGGCCACGAGACGAGCTTCACGCGGGGGTTGTGTATGTCCCAGAGGTAGATGTTCTCGTGGGTGATCTGCAGCTTACACTCGCCATACACATCCAGGTTGGGGCAGGGTAACAGGAAGACGTTGAAGCGATCTGGAGTGGGAGAGCCAACAGGGCTGGAGCTGCTTGTATGGAGGCCTCTCACCCACTTCCCCTCCCGTTTCTCCCCCGCGTTCAGGGCCAGCACCAGGCCTCACCTGTCTGCTCACACTGCACCCCTGGGGCCAGGAGGTCTGGTTCTCCCAGGCTGATGTCATTGAGCCGTGACCCCAGGCACTCCACGGACAGGGTCTTGTACCACTCCTCCGCCTCCAGCTCTGGAGAAGATGGTACCGCCAGGTACTGTCAGCCCCAGGCGCCCCGCAGCCACCCTGTCGGCCTCAGCCCAAGCTAGCCCACCATAAAAGGAGGGAGGACAAGGCTAGTGGGTTCTCCCTGCCTGCCCAACCTCGTCCTGGTGGCCTGCTCCCTCAAAGGCACCCTTCTTTCGCCCCAACTCCCACCCATCACACCCAACCAGGGCTATCCCTGCTGTCTCCTGCCAACTGGACCACGAGCCACCAGTCTATAGACCTGGTCCCTCACCTGAGTCGCAGGTGAATGTCCTGGCAGAGTCATCAGTGAATATGATGGCCACCGCCTGCCTCTTCGTCTCCTTGGGGAGCCGTGTGACACACTTGACATTGCTGATCTCGGTCACCTGGGACAGCATCCATAAGGGACTCAGGCTGGAGCCCCTCCCTCTGCATTCCCCACAGCTCTGCCACCCCCAGAGGGGTGCTTCTGGACCTCAGGACACTCCATAAGTCATTTACAGGTTGGGGAAACTAGGGCCCAGGCCCCCTAACCTTGGGGCATCCTCGGAGGCACACGGACTTCTCATCTGGATACTTCTCCAACCGCTGGGGCCCCTTGCTGGAGGACTTCCGGAACACCAGCCAGCACCTCCGGTAGATCTGGGGGGCAAGAGAACAGGGATGTCAGCCTCCCAGGACGGCAAGGCACTGCAGTTACCCCTGCCTACCACAGGGGGCAGTGCTGCACAGCAACCTGAGTCAGGAGAAAACCTGGGGACACGGATGCCAGCAGACCCCCCCCCTTGAGAGAAGACCCTCCTCTCCAGGTGGAAACAGCAGTCGTTCAGTGGCTGGCTCTGAAAGGCTGTTTCACAAAGGGCGCACCTAACTTGCCGGCTACTGTGAGCTCAGCTCCGAGTTTAAGGAAAGGGGAACATTTATTGAGTGTGTCCCATTTCTATTTTTTGAACCCTAATCTCAGGTTAGTCAGTCACTCAAGGTTAGTTCTGTTCTCATCTCCTCTTTTCAGATAGGGAAACTGAGGCACCAAAAGTCAAATTAAGCGCTAATAAACAGCACTGTCTAGATTCAGAGCCAACTCTCAGGGCCTTTGCATATGACACACTGCCTGGGGCTTCAGCAGCGCCTCCCACCACAGAAGGTGTCCTAGGACAGGGATTAGACTGGGCCCACTCCCAGCCTGCACCCTACCGTACCCCTTGTCCTCAGGGCCAGAGCGGGGCTTGATGTCGGTATCACCCCCACCCGTCTCCAGGAGCTTTCACTAACCCTCTCCTTGCTGATCAACCTAGGAGAGTAGGGGCCAGGGTTAACTCCCTTTTCCAGCTAGGAAACCAGAGGCTCTCAGAGGTAAGAACCTGGGGTGACCCCAGGGCATAGTGTGTCCCCAGCAAGGTTCCCTCCTTGTCTAACCACGGCCAACAACCCTGTGCCTAAAACCACTTCATTCTCTATGGCTTCATGGAACCCTCCCAAGGGATGGAGCTGGGGAGAAGGAAGCTGACCACTCTAAGGCTAGCGAGGCAGGCTGGCTTGTTAGACCCCTCAAAAGGTGGCCCAGCTACCTACCCAGGCTGCTGCCTCTTCCTTCCACAGCCGCCTCCCACCTCGGATACTCCCCAGCCCAGTGTGTGGCTGGGATGTACTTCTTTGGCAGCGGGCACTCCATAAGCCTGGCAGAGCCCACCCCCAAGACACACCAGTGCTCCCCCACTGGCAAAGAAGATTGAGAAATGACCCAGAGGAAAGCAAAGGAGGTAAGAGGGGCCTCTGGGCCATAGCCCCAGCTCCCACCCCTTCCCCAGCCCAGCCATGCAGGCACTAGGTCCTTAGCAAGCAGGTTGGGGTGGGTCCAGCTAGGCAGTCCCCATCCCGAGAAGGTGATGGCCATTTCTGACTCCTGTCTGGGGCCCGGGGAGGCACCTGTACCCATGACCCTGGCCTGTCCACCCACACCACAGCGGGCCTCAGCTCTCAGCCGGGGAGCTCCTTCAGGGCAGACACTATTTTGTTCTCAGAATCCTTACTCCCATCCTGGTAGTTCATTAACAGAGCTCTGCTGGCTGGACGAGTGAATGAAGGGATGGCAAGTGAATGAATAACGG